TGTAGCGTTATACATTTTATGGTGTTTTTTTTTTCTTCTCCTCCGCCCTCCCCGTACCCATCCCAACCCTTATGTCGGATGTTGCGGTGATGTAAATCTGATGGTTTTTTTTCCATGTGTTCCATGCATTAAATATTAAACACTATACATCTATACTCAATACAAGTTATACTTCATGCACAATTAACAAACACAATTAATCACAAAAGGCGATTTAAAATGTATTTTAAATTTTATTTATTAAAAACAACCCCATTAACATACAGTCATAAAAATGTGTTATTTATATATCTACATTAGTATAAGGTGTCGTTAAAGTCATGGTTAAATTTATAAATGTCAAAGCATTATATGTTTAGGGGAGATGTTGTCACATTGTCTGACTGTACTTGTCTTTTAATATAAATGTAAGAAAGTGCGTTTCTGTATTGCGTGTATGTATAAATCCCTGTGTTGAATGCCCTGAAACCTGTATTTGTTACATCACCTGGTTCCTTTATCGTGAGGACTAGTATAAATGACTATTTGTCTAGTGTGTTGTGGTTTAAGGATTAATAAAATCGGGATGTTTGTGAGAGGTCATCCTATGGGAAATTCATTGAGGTGATAGAGATAGAATGTGGTGGCTGGAATGATCTCAACAGCGTATTTTGTATTCGGTCTATCGTGTTGTGCGTAATTTAGAATGTCTGATGTGTTTAAGTGTTCTAAAAAATCTTTAAAATCTACTCTATTGTTAATTAATTTAGGAAGCTCTAAGACGCATGCATTGTTGTTACTTGAGTGAAAAAAACCTATATTCTCCTGTTTCTTTATGTTTTAAAATGGTATGGTGACTATAATTTATTTTGAACCGCTTAGTTTGTGTGTTAAATACGGTATCTACAAGTTTTGTATCCCAATCTATTGGAGTAGTGTGTAGTGGGTTGTGAAAAAAATTGAATCTGGATAAATGTTTGCCTGTAGTTGTATGTGTCTGTATGGAGTGCCAATTGTCAATGTATATGTTTTGTAATTCGCTGTTTAGGTTATAAAGGGTGTCAATTTCGTCTAACGGTAAGTCTAAGTCGTTCACGTCCTCTAAATGTAGGTCTACCACATCTCCCCTTAGGTCATCTACAAGTATAGCGTCGGTGTTTAAATTAACGTTACTGTCGTTGTGAGATGTCTTTAGGCGTTTGTTTGTTGTGTCGTCATAGGTCCTTTGTCTCTTTAATTGTATAGGTAGGTTGTCTGTTTGTCTGTCGTTTGCTAATGTAGGTTGTTCAGTTAGTCTGTCAGATGTTAATGTCGGTTGTTCGGTTTGTCTGTCGGATGCTGATGGGGCATCGGTTGGTGTAAGTAGGTTGGTGTGCACTATCCTATAGTGTCTCGTTAAATTAAATTTTCTTGTAAATTCTTGCCAGCATTCTATACATCGATGCCTTTCTCGGCCGTGTACAGTCTTGCAATGTTGTGTCAAATTTTTTTTACGGCTGAATGTACGTTCACATATGTCACATGTGTATCGGGCCATAGCTGGGTAGCTGGATGTGGTTGGGTCGGCTGGATGGGTCTGCTGTACAAAAAAAAAAAATTAAGACGAATACATTTGATTATTTATTTAAAAAATAAATAAGCTTTAATTAAAGGGTATAAGGCAGTATAAGCGTATTTTTTATTAGTGGTCTAGTGGGTGGGTCGATTGTACAATACAAATTAAAGTAAATACATTTGAAACTTATTTAAAACATAAATAAGATAATTAAAGGGTAAAATCGTATTTTTATTAGCGGGGTTAAATCCATTAAAATATTTACCTTACCTTTTAATGTCTAACTAGGTGTGAGATCGGTCCGTAGCAGGTTAGTTGTATGTGACTGGGCAGCTGGATGTGTTTGGGTCGGGTGGGTGGCTAGCTCAATGCCTTGTTCAGTAATTGGGTTGGCTGTACAATAAAAATTAAAGCGAATATATTTGACTACTTATTTAAAAAATAAATAAGACTTAATTAAAGGGTCTAAGCTTATTTTTTTTATTAGTGGACTAGTGGGTGGGTCGGGTGTACAATAAGATTTAATTAAATGGTATATCTTTATTAATGGCGTTAACTCCCTTAAAAGCAAAAAATAAAATTATAAATAAAAAAATAAATAAATAATATTAACCTTACCTTAGTGCTGGATGATTTGAATGTCTAAGTTGGAGTGAGCTCGGTCCGTAGCAGGGTAGCTGGTTGTGTAGCTAGTTAGGTGGACGTGTAGATGTTTTGCAGTGCTGAGCAGTAGTGTTTAAAGTAAAACTTCGTCTGAATTTATACTTTATGAACGCGTGGGGAAAAAAATCCTGACTATCATTCTATAATTGGTCTAATTATGCAAGCGTGCGTCACGCAGATTTGGAGGTCATTGAACCCCACTACCATCCTTGGTTTACAAAGAAAAAATACCCCGTCACCTGCTTGATACATAAAGTCAAAAAGCTAATTTCTTTCAATTCACGGCTCGCTTCGCGGAAAAGATGCATCACTAATTATCTAGCCGTCCATGAGCGTTGGGGTATAGCTATTGTTCTATACTCACACGCCACGATTGCGCACAATAGTTTTGTCCTCACGGAATACAAAAGGGTGGAGTTTTAGGGCCATTGTGTTCCTTAAAAAATCAATAAAGTGAATGACGTGAGTGTGTTTTGAATATATTTTATCGGATTACCACCGTGTCAACTCACCATTTTGTCATTACTTTAAAAGTCGTTACATAATTTTTAAAGGGAGAGAATTTGATATACAAGGATGTCTTTATTAAATAATTCTATTTGTTCTGTTGGCTGTTGTATAACTATTAAAAATAAAACAAAAAATAGAAATAAAAATATTATTAAAAAAAGATAAAAATACTGATGATGAAATATTCTTAAAAAAAAAAAAAAAAAAAAAAAAAAAAAAAAAGTTTCCTCTTTAGACCAAATGGTATATGAAGTGGTAGTGTGGTCAGCATTATACGCAGCCGCCTTTACTTTTCCTAACGTGAATTGGGACTCATCAGAGCTGGGTGAACTCAGGGCTACTATCTTGAAACAGGATTTGAACTCTAGACTTTCGGATTAGTGGTCTAACTGTACCATCACTTTATAAAAGATAATCCTGAAATGGGCAAGGAACTAACCTAACACGACCTTACAGCAATAGCGCAGACTATGGTCTAATTATTCTAAAGACGCTAATTATTCAATGTCTTCATTAATGATTGATCAAGTCAATATTATGTTTCCTCAAGAAGAAAGAACCCGCCGACCACAAAAAAATAAATAAATAATAATAATCTTTTTTCAAACAGCTTTTATCAAATCAAAATATAACAACTCTACGAAGCAGACAAGCCAAGAGAAGACAACCACAACACATAAAGCACTCACACTAAACTTAATTAACACGACTCGGACTAGACAAAGAACACAGGACAAAAAAAAAAAAAAAACCAGACTGGTAGTAACGTTTATATATTGATCAACTGGATGAGAAATAAGGAATATAGTCAAGCCTTGCTAAATAAAATAATTATTTTTAAAATTTTTTTTAAAGATAATTGATTAATATACTCTTTGATGTCTAACCCTGGTCACTATTTTAGAAAGAAATCGTCACTAGGAAAACTTAAAAAGTCGTGATTACACCATAGCCTCAACTATGTACATAAACGTACAATAAACCAACAACCTAGCACTTAAATATAATACTTCTAATATACTAAATATTAAAAAACCACCAATCAAACACCCACAACAAATAAAGCAATCACACTTAACATAATTAACACGACTAGACGAAAAACAGAGGACAAAAACAGACTGATAGTAAATAGTAACGGCTATTTATAGATCAACTGTATGAGAAATATGGCCTATTGTAAAGCAAGCCTAGCTGAATAAATTATTTTTAATGACTATTTAAACATATCTTTCAAAAAAAAAAAAAAAAAAAAAAAAAAAAATCGATACTCTATTGTTTGTCGTCGCGGCCGTAATGGAGCGTCACGGAAGACAATAGGAGGAGGGGGAACACCTGCTCCAGCTGGAGTATTTTACTATATAACATGTCTGCTCTGGCTGCTCAATATTTTACTATATAAACATGTCTGCACAAAAACGACCCAAACACGACCTACTATACTACTTCTGTGCCCTAAATGTTGCTAATATTCTATTATAAAAATGTTTATGATAAACGTGTTTTTCTTTTTTCACCTTCTCGTATACGAAGTATATAGAAAGTATTGTAATCGTGCAAAAAAAAATTGAGATTTGTACAAATCTCGATGTTTTACACCTCCCTGAGTCGGAAAAACATAGTTTTGCAATTTTGTCCTTACGTCTGTGTGTGTATGTATGTGTGTCTGTAAACACGATAACTTGAGTACCGTTACAGCTAGGTTGATGAAATTATATATATATATATATATATAGGTATTATATATATAGGCCTATATCAAATTTGTAGTTCTGTATAAACTTTTCAGCAATTCCCGGTAACCGGAAGTGGAACTGTTTCTACTTTCAATTTTTCAAAAGCCTATAACTTGAGTACTATTTCAGATAGATGAGCGAAATTTACATATAAGTAAAAGATCTACTTTTCTGCCTTCTATCAAATTTTGAGTAATTTCCGTTGACCGGAAGTAGTAATTTACGCTATTTCCGGTTTCTCAAAAAACGCATGTGATTTATAAAGTAGGGCCTACTAATAATATTCCGCACTATTATACACAAGACTAAAAATGTTTGCATTAAAAACCCGATAAATTTGCGATTTTTATACGCTAATTAGCGGTCATAGGTTTTGTAAACAAAAGGTTTTAGAGCCTTCACACTTGCTCGCTTGAGTCCTCGCTCATACTTAGATCTAAATCTAGTAGCCTCTCCTTTTCGGGAATAATGATCTTTATATTTTTTATTATATTTTTTTTTCAGGAATATTTTAGTATCTAATTAGATTGGATTGCCAGTTAGACATTATTCCGATAATGGGACGACGTAGCTTAGTGGCAGAGCACTTGATTACTAACCCAGAGGTCTTGAGCTCGGATACAGAGCACGTGCTAACAATAGGCCTTACGTCTAAATAATAAATTCTGAATATACTATATATGTATATATATATATACAGAGTTTCTTCCAGGCATCTCTTCAGGGGGGGGGGGCGAAGCCTCCCCGAAATTTTTTTAGCGCCCCCCGAACGAAATGAAATTTATATAATTTATATAGAAAATATATACTTTTAACTGTATCCGCCCCCCCCCCCTGAAGAAAGTCTACCCCCCCCCCCCCGAAAATTTCAAGTGCCCACCCCCCCCCCCCGGAGAAAAAAGTCTGGAAGAAACACTGTGTATATATATATATATATATATATATATATATATATATATATATATATATATATATATATATATATATATATATATATATATATATATATATATACACACTAGCCGTCCCGGCCAGGCCCTGCTCTGGCTTCTGTTTAAAACCTTTCTGTTAAAGACCAACCATTACCTGTGTGTTAAGTAATCATCATAAATCCGGCATTTCCCATCCAAACCACAACCAACCACAACGTCCACCAGAGAGTGGAGCATGAAGACGTCCACCAGAGAGTGGAGCGTGAAGACGTCCACCAGAGAGTGGAGCATGAAGACGTCCACCAGAGAGTGGAGCATGAAGACGTCCACCAGAGAGTGGAGCGTGAAGACGTCCACCAGAGAGTGGAGCATGAAGACGTCCACCAGAGAGTGGAGCATGAAGACGTCCACCAGAGAGTGGAGCATGAAGACGTCCACCAGAGAGTGGAGCATAAAGACGTCCACCAGAGAGTGGAGCATGAAGACGTCCACCAGAGAGTGGAAAGCGAAGACGTCCACCAGAGAGTGGAGCATGAAGACGTCCATCAGAGAGTGGAGCATGAAGACGTCCACCAGAGAGTGGAGCGTGAAGACGTCCACCAGAGAGTGGAGCGTGAAGACGTCCACCAGAGAGTGGAGCATGAAGACGTCCACCAGAGAGTGGAGCGTGAAGACGTCCACGAGAGAGTGGAGCATGAAGACGTCCACCAGAGAGTGGAGCATGAAGACGTTCACCAGAGAGTTGAGCATATATGTGACGAACAGGATATGCGGGTGCTGATATTAATTCGGGGATCGGCAAAACGATACCCACTTCCATCCAGCTGAAATAGGCTATTTGATCTGACTACTTAGAGGAACTGAAGCTTTGAAAAATAACCATTGAAAGATGTCCTTGACCTGTAGGCCTGCAAGTGGTCTGTAAACCCCCTACTCGAAAGTGATTAAGAAGGAAATCACGATAAGGCTCTATGTGGCTAGTGTACGTTGAAGTTAACCTACGTAACCAGAACTTGAAACTCCAATGATCGCTTATGCCTGGCGCGCCTCGTGGCGCCGGTGTGTGTGTGTTGAGGGGGGGGGGGGGGTGGAAGTTAATATGATCAATTTTTAAATACTAATTTAAAAAAAAATAGAATAGAATCTCGTAGAAAAAGAACTGCGCACCAAGAGAACGGCAAACAATGTGTGTATAATAGTGTAGAACATTAGTATTAATTAGTACTTTATAAAAACATACGCGGTTTTTTTATAATCGTTAATAGCGTAAAATACTAATTCCGGTCACAGGAAATAACGCAAAATTTGACAGAAAAAAGAAAATTAGATCTTTTATATGTGAAATTTCATTTATCTACCAGAAACAGTACTCTACTACTAGGCTTTTGAAAACCCGAAAGTAGAATAAATTATACTTCCGGTGACCGGAAATAGCTGACAAGTTGATAGAGAACACATATTTGATGTAATACATGACATTTCATCAACAGAGCTGAAACGGTACTCAAGTTATCGTTTTCCCAGACACACATACTCACAGACATACGGACAAAAATTGCAAATCTAATTAGTTTTGCAATTTTAAGTTTTTCCGACTCAGTGAGGTGTAAAACGTCGAGATTTGAAAAAAATCTTGATATCGCTTTTTTGCACGATTACAAAACTTCCTCTATACTTCGTATACGAGAAAGTAATTAGATCATTTTAAAAAGTATTATCGAACAGCTTCGAAATCATACATTCTGAAAAACGAGGTTTTTTTTTCTTTTAGGTAGTTGGAGCTTGACATAGTTTATTTGTTTAAACAATGTGCCACTGCCCTGGAATGGTCGCTGACAGAAGCTTCCGAGTGAAGTGGACAGGTCTAGATCTACACATTTTCATTTCATGTTTAATTTGCAATCTTCGGTCAATCTTATATTAACATACAGAGGTTTAGGTAACAAGTTTTAAAAGTAAATTGACAAAAGTACTACAGAACTACCCAAATAATCAAGTGCTAGATGTAGTTCTGTACGCATATTAATTTTTTTTTATTATGCATCTCTCATAACGTAGATCTATCGGCAACTATACAATAGAGAAAATGGGAATTCTAAAAAAAGTTACAAGAGAAGAATGATTATATCATTTTGGTTTCTCTTATCGAGTCTGTATTTTTATGACTATAAAATGTCAAACGATTAACAGTAAACCGACATCTTCCAGCTGTTGATGGGACTCGCATCAGGGGTCTTTGTTTGGCTGCTGAAAATCAGAAAATAGTTATCTATCTATCTATATACTACTAAAAGTCAAGTTTGTTTACATGTTTGAATATTTATTTGTTTGTTTGTTTGTTTGCCTGATCAAGTATCCTGATATGTTCGGCTCTATCTGGAAAGCTGTAAAATAGTATGTAGGTAGAGAATAATTTTTTAATGCAGACAGACTGTTAATCACACATTTATTTAAAGACGTTAATTAATTTATTGATTTATTCATTGTTAAATTAACCGTATTTTTTTAAAAATGTTAATACTTTGAATAAACTTTGTGGGGATAGTGACGTCCCTTGATGTGTTTACTTTTTGGTTCAATAAAATGGCGGACTCCATCATCGACTTTGTGGCCCATTCAAAAGTTTAACGCGTTACAAAGCTAATTTTCTGCCGGCTATAACTTAAACAATACGTCCGTTTGCTGTATTTATTACGTTCCAACACTTATATCAATTTTAAACTGTCTTTTTTCATTTAGTTTTACAATAAATTTCTCTAGATCTAAAGATCAGCTGTCGAAGTAAAGTTATGAATCTAGCCTAGACTCTAGATCTAGCCTAGATCTAGGTCACTACTAGACTCATTGTAAATTCTAGATCTAGACTTAATGTAAATTCTACATCTAGAATCTATTTCAGGCCTTAATATATCTAGAATCTATTTCAGGCCTTAATTATTTTATATAAATCTTTGTTTGGCTAATTTAAGATTAAATTTAATTTGAAAGTTACTACTACTAGCCTAATATCTAGATCTATGCGCGGAGACTCAAAAGTATAGTATAAAAATTCAATTGTGACGTCACGAGTAAATAGCTAAGTTGGTAGCGTAGCCCGCTCTCATGTGGGTGGCACAGGTTCTAGACCAATATGTCAATGATATTTTTTTTCAATTTTTTTTTTAGATGTGAATGATAAAGTTGCCTATCTGAACTTGCCAGGATACAGGGCAGGTGAAGTAGAGTTCATCTGTTTCTTTGTCCTAAGCATATGAAAGGATAGTGTGGTCAGAGACATGCTCGGCTGGAATCGTTTTTTAAACGATAAAAACATGTTGTCTGAGACTTGGCGGGACACTGGGCAGGTGAAGTAGAGTTGAGTAGGTCACATGTGACGTCAGTATATGAAGGGATAGTCCGAAATCGGTGTTTTCGGTGTTTTTAAAAGATAAGAAACATATTTTTGAATGTGGGGTCTGTTTTTTGTGACGATAAGTGACACTGCAGTAGCGTAGCGAGGAGGGGGAGGGGAGGGGAGGGGGGGGGGGGGCGGGAGGGGAGGGGAGGTGGGGGGGAAGGGGAGGGGAGGTGGGGGGGAAGGGGAGGCGGGGGGAGGTGGAGGGGGGAAGGGGGGGGGGACATATGTTGGGGCGCCAAAATGGTTTGGAAAAAAAAATTGAAAGGTTGAGGGGGGTTCAAATCGAAAGTTTGAGTGGGGGGGGGGGGGGGGGGGTGCACATCAAAAGTTTGAGGGGGGGGGTTGAAAATCGAAATCTTGGGGGGGGGGTTAAAATCGAAAAGTTTGTCCCCGGGCGCCGGGAAGGCTCGCTATGCCTCTGAGTGACAGACGTGATGTTTTTTGATGGATGACCCCCCGAAACCCACAGTTATCCAACGGATGACGGGTATTCTAGTATACTACTAAAAGTCAAGTTTGTTTACATGTTTGAATATTTATTTTTTTGTTTTTTTGTTTGTTTTTTTGTTTGCCTGATCAAGTATCCTGATATGTTCGGCTCTATCTGGAGAGCTGTAAAATAGTATGTAGGTAGAGAATAATTTTTTAATGCAGACAGACTGTTAATCACAAATTTATTTAAAGACGTTAATTAATTTATTGATTTATTCATTGTTAAATTAACCGTATTTTTTAAAAAATGTTAATACTTTGAATAAACTTTGTGGGGATAGTGACGTCCCTTGATAGTGACGTCAGAGTTTTTTTGTTGACTCTTTAGTACAATAAAATGGCGGCGTCTATCGAAGAAAATTGTGTTCCCATTCCAAAGTTTAACGCGTTCTAAATCTAATTTTCTGTCGGTCATAACTTTAACAATACGTCCGTTTGCTGTATTTATTACGTTCCAACACTTATATCAATTTTCAACTGTCTTTTTTCATTTAGTTTTACAATAAATTTCTCTAGATCTAAAGATCAGCTGTCGAAGGAAATTTATGAATCTAGCCTAGATCTAGATCACTAAACTCAATGTAAATTCTAAATCTAGACTTAATGTAAATTCTACATCTAGAATCTATTTCAGGCCTTAATACATCTAGAATCTATTTCAGGCCTTAATTATTTTATATAAATCTTTGTTTGGCTAATTTAAGATAAAATTTAATTTGAAAGTTACTACTTCTAGACTAGACGCTCGAAATCAAGTTGCATCAAAGTATAGTATAAAAATTCATTTGTGACGTCACGAGTAAATAGCTAAGTTTGTAGCGTAGTCCGCTCTCATGCGAGTGGTACAGGTTCTAGACCAATATGTCAATGATATTTTTTTCAATTTTTTTTTTTTAGATGTTAATGATAAAAAATGATTTTTTTTTTCAATTTTTTTTTTTAGATGTTAATGATAAAGTTGCCTATCTGAACTTGGCAGGATACAGGGCAGGTGAAGTAGAGTTCATCTGTTTCTTTGTCCTAACCATATGAAAGGATAGTGTGGTCAGAGACATGCTCGGCTGGAATCGTTTTTTAAACGATAAAAACATGTTGTCTGAGACTTGGCGGGACACTGGGCAGGTGAAGTAGAGTTGAGTAGGTCACATGTGACGTCAGTATATGAAGGGATAGTCCGAAATCGGTGTTTTCGGTGTTTTTAAAAGATAAGAAACATATTTTTGAATGTGGGCTCTGTTTTTGTGACGATAAGTGACACTGCAGTAGCGTAGCGAGGAGGGGGGGGGGCGGGTGGGGAGGCGGGGGGGGGGGGGGGGGGAAGGGGAGGCGGGGGGGGGGGGAGGGGGGGTGAAGGGGGGGGGGGGGGGGCGGGGGGACGTATGTTGGGGCGCCAAAATGGTTTGGAATAATAAAATGAAAGGTTGAGGGGGGTTCAAATCGAAAGTTTGAGTGGGGGGGGGGGAGAGGGGGTGCACATCAAAAGTTTGAGGGGGGGGGGGGGGTTGAAAATCGAAATCTTGGGGGGGGGGGTTAAAATCGAAAAGTTTGTCCCCGGGCGCCGGGAAGGCTCGCTATGCCTCTGAGTGACAGACGTGATGTTTTTTGATGGATGACCCCCGAAACCCACAGTTATCCAAGGGATGACGGGTATTCTAGTATACTACTAAAAGTCAACTTTGTTTACATGTTTGAATATTTATTTGTTTGCCTGATCGAAAATTGTGATATGTTCGACTCTATCTGGAAAGCTGTAAAATGGTATGCAGGTAGAGAATAATTTTTTAATGCAGACAGACTGTTGATCACAAATTTATTTAAAGACGTTAATTAATTAATTGATTTATTCATATGCATATTAACCCATTTTTTAAAAAAATATTTGAAAAGCCACTAGACTCGGCGGGACCGTGACGTCACAGGTTTTTGTTTACTCTTTAGTACAATAAAATGGCGGCGTCTATCGAAGAAAATTGTGTTCCCATTCACAAGTTTAACGCGTTCTAAATCTAATTTTCTGTCGGTCATAACTTTAACAATACGTCCGTTTTCTGTATTTATTACGTTCCAACACTTATATCAATGTTCAACTGTCTTTTTCATTTAGTTTTACAATAAATTTCTCTAGATCTAAAGATCAGCTATCGAAGGAAATTTATGAATCTAGCCTAGATCTAGATCTAGCCTAGATGTAGGTCACTAGGTTTCTATGTAAATTCTAGATCTAGACTTAATGTAAATTCTACATCTAGAATCTATTTCAGGCCTTAATTATTTTATATAAATCTTTGTTTGGCTTATTTAAGATAAAATTTAATTTGAAAGTTAGTACTACTAGACTTATTTTTAGATCTAGATCTAGAATCTATACGCCGTAAATCAAGTTGCATAAGGAGATACATACTATAGTATAAAAATTCACTTGTGACGTCACGAGTGAATAGCTAAAATGGTAGCGTAGTCAGCTCTCACGCAGGAGGCACGGGTTCTAGACCAATATGTCAATGAAATTTTTTTTTTCAAATTTTTTTTTTTTAGATGTGAATGATAACGTTGCCTATCTGAACTTGGCAAGATACAGGGCAGGTGAAGTAGAGTTCATCTGTTTCTTTGTCCTAAGCATATGAAAGGATAGTGTGGTCAGATACATGCTCGGCTGGAATTGTTTTTTAAACGATAAAAACATGTTGTCTGAGACTTGGCAGGACACTGGGCAGGTGAAGTAGAGTTGAGTAGGTCACCTGTGACGTCAGTTTATGAAGGGATAGTCCGAAATCGGTGTTTTCGGTGTTTTTAAAAGATAAAAAACATATATTTGAATGTGGGGTCTGTTTTTTGTGACGATAAGTGACACTGCAGTAGCATACCGAGGAGGGGGGGGGGGACGGTAGGGGAGGGAAGGCGGGGGGTGGGGAGGGGAGGCGGGGGGTGGGGAGGGGGAAGGGGGGGGCATATGTTGGGGCGCCAAAATGGTTTGGAAAAATAAATTGATAGGTTGAGGGGGGTTCAAATCGAAAGTTTGAGTGGGGGGGGGGTGCACATCAAAAGTTTGAGGGGGGGGGGGTTCAAATCGAAAACTTTGTCCCCGGGCGCCGGGAAGGGTCGCTATGCCTCTGAGTGACAGACGTGATGTTTTTTGATGGATGACCCCCGAAACCCACAGTTATCCAACGGATGACGGGTATTCTAGTTGACTTTAATGGGCGGGGGTTGTTTTTTTTTCCTCCTCATCATGATAAAGGTTAGATAAGATATTGTGCTTATCGTAACTCCAACAAAGTAACAATGATCCGACAATTGGAGATTTTTTCCATATTGCTAGATAGATGCATAAGTACTTCATTTGTAAATTATAGAACAACTCATTATTAATCAAACCAAAAATACAATCTTAGGCCCTACTATTCACTACATTGTATATTCGGAGATTATTCAGGGCACAACACCGTTAACCTAACACAACTAAGTCATGTGTCTATTAGAAGGAGTCTCATTCGTCGATGAATTAGTATGCCGTGCTATATGTTAGTAATTCTGCAATTCTATTGGTTTGAACTTGACCCGCGAATCCAAAACAAACCAATCAACGCGTTCTTTTTAGGCCACTGCTAGACCGAAAACATTCTGGCGTGGGGTCGATTTTAAGGCTTGGTATAAGGGACTATCATCGTAGCTTGTTAGGTAAGTTATATCATTATTCGCTTTTAATTTCCTACTACATATTAACATGTACTTGTTGAGAAAGAATTAACAAAAATATTATGTGAAATCGACAATCATATTGGAGTAGATTATTCACCTTTTCTTTTTGTGCATTATGTATTCTTTAAATATCAAAGTTGGCATTGCTCGCTCTGCACGAAGCGGGAGTACGCCATGTTTTCCCTACGAGATTTTGTGTTGCAAGATGACGTCCGCTAAAACGTCTTTTTGACTGTGTTTTCGATGGCGCAGTATGTTGCAATTTACTGATATGTTGATCCTTTAATGTTACAAAAGGAATTTGAGATTGTTTTGGAATCTTATCTTATCAACTCGTTACAGGATCGATATTAACGGAGGTACCCACCCCTGTTCACACAGCATTGAGCCTTCCTTACTGGCCAAGCTTCCATTGCGTCTGCTGCAATGAAAGGCAGTAGGGCTGCCGTAAGCTCAATGCTAAAACTGCCTTGCACAGGTCCATTACTATAGCATTGTTTGTATGGGTGTGCGAAAAACTAGTTTTATAGTGTTGGCTCGTATTATTTTCAAAACTCAAAGAATGAAAACTTTAAAATATATGTTTTTAAGCAGTTTTCAGTATAATTTGCGATTATTTGACATTGAAAAGTAGGTTTTGAGGTCGTTGTTCGCCGGGATAAACTTGCCGCCATATCGCCGCTCTTGTAGTCTAGTAAATGTTCATACTTCATACACTAGTCAAGCAGATTGCCGCTTGCTTAGCATAGTAACGCCAGTGTTGGGTTATTTTGTATAACTTTAAAATAGTAATATAATATTAGTATTCTAGATCTACTTTAGTACTTTTGACTGATAGACTCTAAATTCTAAATGAATTCTAAAACTAGTCTAAAACTAGACTACACTACAAAAGAATTTCTATAAAATTCATAGGCTAAAATAGAGAAATCTAGATTATTATTCATTTCATAGGTCTATATTGAATTGATATAGAATCTATATCTAGAATCTATATTATATAATATTATATTCTAGATTCTAGATCTAGGCCAACAAAATAAGACTCTAGATCTAGATAGCCTATCTATCTAGATCTAGAAGATCTTGATCTAGATCTAGATCTATATTAAATAATATTATTATTAGATCTAGTCTAGATCTAGAATCTAATAATAAAAGAATCTTGGCCTAATGTCAATATAATTTAATATATAGAATCTAGCCTAACAGTCTAGATTTGAATGCTAAAACAAAATATACAATTTATAGCCTAATAAAAGTATAATCAATAATCTCTATCAAGTCTTGGCTGATTTTATTTAGATCTAGATCTAAGATTGGTTTTATTTAGGTAGATAGATCTAGATCTATAGGAATCTAGTTCTTCTAGTATGGAAAAATAAAATCTAGATCTAGGCCCCTGCATCTAGAATCTACAATACTTCATGCACCATCATACTCATACACATTTTTAGATTAGATCCAGATTTCTATCTAGATTCCAGATCTAGAAATCTCTATATCCCAAGATCTAACTTGTTTTACAGTGGAATTTGGTGATTTTAGCAGATAAGATGGGTGGGTCTATCCATACTTCCATATCCTATAGTCAATATCTAGTAATCTAGTAGACTGTAGATTTGATTTTTCTCCCTTATAAACTAATAGATTAGTATTAATTAGTCTAGTGGTGAGGAGAAAATAGGAAGTTAATTTTATAGGAATACAAAATGTTGAATCTATATGGTCTGAGACAAAATAGCAAGTCTTAACCCAATTTTCCTTTATAAAAAATAGAATCTTTAACAAGGACTAGATTTACATGGTTTTGGCATGTTAAGAGTAACTTAAGAGTAATGGTTATTTTGAGGCTTTCTGATCAGCCACTTTATAATTATACAAAGTTTATTGCTTGGTTTTTTTTTTCCTTCAGTGTAAGGCTTTACAACAGACAAATTTATTGTGATATATGGCTAGATTATCATTTAAATGATGTAAGCTTTTTGGGATTTTAAGTTTTTGCCTTGTCTGCAACACTGTTATTCATGGCATTATCATAATTACAAATGAACATTTTAAAATTATTGGGTATATCAAATACATACTACAAAGGAGTTCAGCGGAAGGATGTTTAGGTTTAATCTGGTATTTTTGCTATTATGTGTGAACTTAAAAAGATGTACCTCGAACAATTTTTAGTAACCAATATATAGGTTCTATATCTTTAATTTTTAATTAACCATTCTTAAATTAACAAGTGTTAACATTTTACTTTCAGTGCTAAATTCAAAATGGGGAAAAAAGACAGTGAAGGAAAACCAAGAGGACGCATGTCATCTTATGCATTTTTTGTTCAGACCTGCCGTGAAGAACATAAGAAGAAACATCCTAATGATACAGTAGTTTTTACTGAGTTCACAAAGAAATGTGCAGAAAAGTGGAAGGTAAATAATAAATACTTTAATATCTTTAACAAACCTTGATATTAATTTAGGTCTGTTTGGTTAAAAATGCCCTTTTTTTTTTAGGAGATGACTCCTAAAGAGAAAAAAAGATTTGAAGACATGGCTGAGAGGGATAAAGCCAGATATGAAAGAGAAATGTCATCATATGTTCCATCAGGTGGTCAATCAAAAAAGAGAAAGAGGACTAAGGATCCCAATGCGCCAAAAAGAGCTTTGTAAGTAATATTTTAACAATATTCATTTTTAATATTTGAACAGTTGATATTCCTTAAGGTTTTTTTTTTGTCAGTTGTAACATGAGTTAGAATTTTTGTTCTTGCAGGTCAGCCTTTTTCTTTTTCTGTGCTGAGGAGCGACCTAATGTGCGGGCAGCAAATCCTGGTATAGGTGTTGCAGATGTTGCTAAAGAGTTAGGCAAAAAGTGGGAAGTGTGTCCAAATAAGTCCAAATTTGAACAGCAAGCTATTGAAGACAAAGCTAGATATGAAAGAGTGGGTGTTTCTTTTAAACTCATTGTTATAAATTATGATCATTTGATAAAGTCTCAAGGGATATAACTCAAACATTGGTTTTTAAACTTACATGGATTGTTTTCCAAATTATTTTGTATTTACTTATAGCAGACTGATCAGTGACTAGAAGACGACTCAATGACGTATTATTGCTTAAAGTTTAAGCTTCTATTGTGACACCTTTCTTAAATGTGGCTTATATATTTCTGATATGTTAGGAAATGCAAGCATATCGTGGTGGTGGTGGAGGTGGAGGAGCAAGTGCTGTTCCGAGGGCATCACCAAAAAAGGCTAAAGTTGAGGATGATGATGATGAAGATGATGATGACGACGATGATGACGATGAGTAAATTTGTACTGTATTGGTTGTTTTATGATGTAAATTTTATTTCACATGAATCCCATCATGTAAATAGTACATAGAATCATAACTTCATTGGTATCTGTCATTGCTTCATGTTTCCACTTTACTTTTGCTCATTCTTGTTCATTGATTTTGGCAAAACAAACTACATCGCCATTTAATCTCCATTGATTTTGTGACTTAGAGAGTTTCATATATTAGGTAACCCTTAAGGTAAATTTTGGCTACCTATAAATGTTTTCATTTGATATATTTCAACACTAGTTCCATGACACTTGCTTAGTGTAAAAGTGCAAAAAAAAAAAAACTATTTGCATAGAATTTCTAATTAACTATTAAATTATACAAGACTTCAATGTACTGTTTTTTCAATGGCATTAGTTAGTAAAAGTATTGTGTATAGGTTTTATCTGTATACTTTATCTCATCATCAATGGGTATTTACTGTAACATAAGTAGTAAGCCACAGTTATTTCTCAAACTTACGAGTGCAATGAGCACTTGTAGAGGTTTTAAAAATTGTTTGCCATTTTGTTTCTTGTGATGAATAATGTAAATTTATTCTCCATTCAATGAGCTAAGTTTTATCTTACTACACATTTACAGTGATTTGATAGCATTTATTGCTGTTTAAAAAAAGTTTGTAATTATTTTAAATTTTTACTGTTGACATAGAAGTACTTTTTAAAAATTGGTTCAGTTTAATTGCCAGGTAGTTACAGCTTTCGATACCTAAATGAATACTCCTAATTTAAAGGAAAAGAAGTCTTAAAACATTTTCTTTATTGTGATTCTTTGCCTTCATAATGCACGTCATATTTTAACTTCTCACTTCAATGTACATTTTGTTTTATTGGTCAGCATTTGTCTTGATGTTGCAACTTATATAAATCCCTATTGTGTTTATAAACTGGAATCTAGGTATCAATAAGATCACTCTGGCATTTGTGCCCATTTTCACTGATGCCTAATTTTTTTTCAAATTGAAAGTTAATGAGTTGTGTAAACTGTAGGTTATATTTATTTTTCATTCTTGCCAAGCAGCAGAACCATAAAAGGTTTCTGAATGACCAATAGTTTTATGTGTTCAGATTACATCTTTGGGGATTGTAAAATAACATTTGGTCATTCTGAAATCCAACACTGCATGCATTTTTATTTCTTGTAAATTTCTTGACCAAAATAAAGCAAGTTTTAAAATTTTATATCTTGTTTGTTATGCTTAATAAATAACCTTGAAATTAAGTGTGTGATGGTAAATAAATGTTACAAACAAAAGTATAACTCATGTTAGATTACTTTATTTCATGGCTGTTACAAGAAGGCAAAAATGCACAACAATGCAACAACACAACACTTATCACATTCTTCACATAAAATTTAGATTAAGTATTTTGTATTATAAATTAATCATCGTTAATTTTAAATTTAAGCTTAAAAAAAATAAAGGATCGAAGTACACCATCAAGCCTTTGCCATCGTAAGATTTTAAAAGACTGCAAGGAAAATAAAATAACTGGACAAACCTCTCATGTATTTCTAATTAAAACATTTTGATCGACATGAAAAAAAATCTTTGCACATATTATAAAACTTAATTCATAGTACATATTTGACAAATTTTAACTGAAAATACATGAATGTTTAATTGTAGTTTTACAAAATGTGTATATTTTCAAATTGAAACAAAGAGGGATTTTATTTTACCTGGTTCTGAATCTGCTATGAATTGAGTACTACTTTAGAGCATACATATATATTTTGGAAGCCCAGAAAGTGGTAGATCTATGTAGTTTTCATTAGCATCTCTGTATGGTATATGCTTAGACGTGACTACCAGGGTGAAAAATTATTTTGCTTTTTAACAACATATTTTTAGGAATGTTGAATAACTAAAAGAAACAGGAACATTCCTGAAGATACCATAAAAGATGAAAAATATTCCCAGAGTTCCATTCATCACATGAGGCCATACACAGACTTTAAAACAAAAGGAATGGCTGAACTAAATACAATGTGGTCACTTATTCTGAATATGTCAAAATTACTAGTTTCTCTATATTTAAGGAGCTGGAAATCTAACTTGTACATCAAAGTTCCCTTGTAGGTCACTTTCAGGTCCACCCACTCATCTGCACATTAAAGCTCTAGCGAGTTATTCTGGTCACATGAATTTTACAGGGTACTCTTCTGTCAGAAAACATTGGTACTTGTACAGAACACCCCAGGTATCAGTGCCCACATGTGGGCACACCTCCCCCCTGAGTAGAATGGTCTTTTAGATATCTACCCAATGGAGAAGATGCTTATTTCTTAAAATATTTGTCCCCACAAGGGGAGGCAGTGCATTACTGTCACCTAGTTAATCGGGAGATTCATTATTTCATGCTTGTTCAGTACCTGATCAGTATGGATCTTATTAGACAAAGGGGATACCAGGTTAAAACAGTTACCAGTTTTTAGTTCTCACTATTCAGACATTAGTTCTTAAAATTAAAAGGATTTTAACACTTATCAATACATTTAATAAAATCACTGCTTGTTTAACTAAAATTAAAAAATTTAAGATCATTGACATAGCTTTACAAAATAATCTTTTAATGATAAGATCAACTGGAAATTGAAACAGCACACAAATGTAACAATCAAAAACGCTGAGAGATAATTAATTTAAATATATATATATATTACTTTTATAATAACCACAAGAAATTGTGTAATACTTATCTTAGGCCAACACTTGAGAATAAGTGAAATAATGGCCTATTGAGACACATTGATATGGACAACACATAAAACTTTCTAGAAAAAAATAGAGAAAAATTTATTAAAGATCTGACCAGTAATTTAAGTATATGCAGTAAGTAGGAGTTCCAACGCTATTGTAAACTACCAAAGGACAAAAACAAGACAAAAAATGTAATGAAGAGGTAACCTACTGCAATAAATGGTCTGTAACAGGTTTGGAAAAAATGTGTGAAATATTTATAAAAATTTAGGAAAGATTAATGGATAGATGCTGTTTAAGTTAAAAAAGAGATCATATTCTCCTTTAGTCTCTCTCTCAAACACACACTTGTTCAATTTTTAATTGACACAAATTAAGATTATAAAAAATTAATAATATAAGAATCATGGCAAATAATTGAGCATTATTAAAATACTGCAAATTAAAGTTTAGAAAAATAAAGAACACTACATAAATGCATCACATTTCATAAAATTAATATAACTACTAAACATGAGAAATACTTTAAAATGTGTGAAATACAATTCAAATAATACCTTAAAAAAAAGATTTTAAATGTATTAAAATTATAAAAATTCAATTCAATTGATACAAAACTTATACTTCATCTGCAACAAATGGCTTGTATCAAAACAAACACCCATATCATGCTACAGACTGTTTTTAATGTTTGATCTTAGGAAATAAGTTAAATGAAGGTGCCAGACAAAAAAGAAGAGTCTTGGAAGAACAACGCTTTTAGCAGTGTGATAAGCCGTAGGAAAGAAAAGAAAAATAAAGTCACACACAGCACATTGGTTCACAGGATCCTTAGTTCAGTCCAGGCACTCCTTCGTGTATTGCTTTAAATAAAACTTGTTCGTCAGATAAGTATTAAAAAAATTTGATTAAAGAAACAGTTATTTGACTTCACAAAACACTTTTATCAGAGGGTGTAAAATGTGTAGGAGTAGGAGTATCATACTAGGCTTGTTCACGGTTGTTGAGTGTAAAAAGACATAGGTTATCTCCCATGTCTGTCATGCATTTAATTAAATGACTAAAATAAAAATAAAGTAATTAGAATTTCTAATTATATTATTATATAAATCATTGTTGCTGGTTAATTAGAAAAATTCCAACTATTAAAAAAAGATACATTAATAATTAATAAATTTTTTAATGATAAAGGAATTATTTTAGTGTTAAAAAAAAGGGGTCTGACATCAAATTGCAATGACTAGAAAAATCAAGGGGTTAAGTATACACAGCAAAACATACTTTTCACAAGGTTAGCTTTTAATAAATACACGTATTAAAGCAAAGTTCAGGAATGATGAACTAAGTAATAGCAACAAACCATAAACAAAACATCAGTCACAATTGTCTAAAGGGCTTCAACAGTAAGGAGGCTTTACTCTAAAACATTTTGTCCACAAGACCACATAGACACAAGGATATTTCTTCAGGACAGAGAGTAGAGAAGAAAAGAATCAATATAGAATCTTTGGTCCTAGTATCCTTCAGGCTTAGCTTGTCTTGTATCATATGCACGGATGTACTCAGCCTGAAAATATAAAACAGAGTTTCTAAGTTTTTAAGCCTACCTTTTTTGAAAAACTAACAATCTTAAGCTTGAACCTTTATTTACAATTATCTTTTACTTAGTAGTTTTTTTTTTGCACCATCTTAAACTTGAAGTTTAGTTACAACCACTATTTACTTTGGCTATCACTTCACCAGAATCTTTCAGAAATGGATAATGAAAATATTAAAGAAAACAAGACAACTAATTTAACAAAAATTCACCAGCTAAAAATTTTTGATTATTGCCTTTAACAGAGTTTTTAAACTACTATCAAACATGTACCCAATGGTATAAAAGTTATTAACATGATGGTTAGATTGAAAAATGTGTGTCATTAACCTGATTCACTACACCATGTTCTTCTTGGGAGAAAGCAAATCCATCTGGGGAAAACAAATTTTAAAAAGTTATATCAGACACTCAATTTTAGAAATGTAAATTAAAAAAAATATGCAGCTGTCTTCATATTAAAAAATAAAACAATCCTTTTCAGGATTAAATACTGATTTTTAAATTTTAAAACTAGCAAATAATTAATTTTATAATTTGTATCTTATAAAAGTTAACAAAAAATTGGATACAATAACCTTAATAAAGCCACCACTTAATTAGGTTTGGTTTCAAACATAATGTGTACTTATAAACATGTTTATTATGAAGCTTGTGTATGTGATCTTCCTCTTCTGGTTATTTAAACATGCAATTTGATTCCTTTAGGGATATTTGAATATAATTTAAAAAAAAAAAAAGGAATGAAATATAATCAAGCAAAATTTTAAGTATCATTTTAAATAATTATAATAGTTCTTAACTTAGAGATCTGTTAAAGTGCATTTTTGTTTAATTGGGAATAAAAAAGGAAGAAATTGATTTATGCAAGCATAATATAGGTACATACATGTGTGATGAATCAATTTTTTTAAATAGTATAAAAATCAACATTTTTAATTAAAATTCGTTTGACTGAATAGGTATGCATTAGGAAGTGTACACTTAATATTAATACTTTGCTGTTGCTAAACACTTGTAATTCTTGAAAGAATTGTAAACTATTAGAAACTCCACAGGAACCACTTAGCAGCCTTGAGCAGAAGAAGAGCTCCATACACTGCAGTGTATAGAGACTTTAAACACATTAAAAAGTCAATTCAGATGAGAGAGACATTTGATAATCCCAACAACAGTAAGTGTTAAGTCAAAGAGACACACACTTGTTTTTGTGTGAAGGCATGGAAGGTAAAGCAAGATTTTAGCAAATGTAAACCATATCAAATATTTACTAAAACAAGTCCCGCCAAATTTCTGCCGTAGTGATAAGGCATTAAATGTAATATTATAATATTGATTTATGCTTATTACAATAAAAAGTAACAGTATAAAAATATTTTGTGAGTGTACACAAAGGATAACTGTCAAAAGGGTCAAGTTGCAGGCATAAAATATGACCAACCTTAGGAGAAAAGTAAAATGTCTGAGCAGCATTCTCAGTTGATATTTGAAAATAACATCAAAATATAAATGGTTTTATCAATGCAGTAGGCATATACATGTGTGGTTAACCAAAGAGTTACAGGATATTTTATTTAAAAAAAAAATCATTAATGAAGATACATTAGAGGAGAACAAAATTGGCCTAATCCCTATAAAATTAATTGTTGGCCTGTCAATGGTTACATTTTTAAAACTTGAGGCTAATAGAGCTCAATGACTAGAGTACAATTTATAGATTTATTAAACAAATAAATGAATTTAATGAGCTAACTGAAAAGCATGAACATTTATGTCACTTGTGTATACAAATTTAAAGATGTTAAAGTGAAGACATATATGATTGACATTAGAATCTATAACTATAACATTTTATATACTTAATTCTTGTATTCCTTTTAAAACAAAATAAAACAATCTTTTCAAGCAGCCTGGACTCATCAAATTCTTAAAATAATTGACACTTTAAGGTCTCCAAGCGAAGCATTAAATTACAAGCAGGAGGGCAATCAAAATTCTGTTTGTGAAGCAATGAATGAACCCTGCGAGGTACAGCAACAATACTAGGGGCATCTTTCTTCAAGCTATCAGTTAAAGCTGCCTGCTCTCTTTATTTAAACTCAACTGTTGGCAATGTTAGAGACTGCGATAGTGAATTATTTTGCTTAGTCTACAGAAAATTGTTTTAAATATTTATAAATGAGGAAATAAATTAGGTATTTCATTATTTCTTAAGGGTATCCATTCCTAAATATTTAATTTTAAAAAATTTCTGTTTATGAAAAAGGAAAGTAAAATAATTTAAAAAACATATTTTTACATAGGCCTAATCGTATCCGGAAATGGATAATCTGATTTGTGCTGATGCAAATATTAACTTCGTGTAAATATAGGAAAATTTATATTTAAAGTTTTTTTCATGGTTATAGATATTGTTATAAAATTAAAATGCTTCTGTTTAGGAATTAAAAAAGGTATTTTCCCTGGACAAGTAAGGTCTTACCTCGCTAGGCTCTTCTATTTCATCCACAACACACTGAATATTTTTAGCTGTGACAAACCATCAGTTTTAAGATTAGAAACAAAAGAAGAAAAACCTGCTAGACCTATATGAAGGGGCAGTTATTACAACCTGCTAGACAGGCACCTGTTGAACCTACTAGACTTAATAGTTTAGCAGCCAATGGAAAGAACCTGTTAAACCTATATGAAGGGGCAGTTATAAGAACCTGCTTGACAGTAGGTATTCAAAATGAAATTTTTATAATGAAATTAAATAAAATTTAACACTTCCACCTGATAGAGACTGTTTTCATCAGAACAGAAACACCAAATTTATTGATGTATGTCCATTTTTAAAAAAGTTATGAATTTTTTAAAACTCAAAAAATGCGTTCGCTTTTTTAACAGTAAAGGGTCTATTTGAGACCCCTACTAACTTTTAAAATAACTAAGTTAGAACTCTCAAATTTCTTGCACACACAGCCAGTAATACAAATAGCAAACCCAATTTTTTTCAAGGTAGTCAGACAGATATAAATAGAAAATTTATTCACATAAAAATGAGCCAAAGCACAATTTTACCAAAGTACAAAAAGGGAGACAAAAAGTTAATTTACAGTCATTTTTAAAAAATCATAGAAAATCAACTAATTAAGCCACATTAATAATATAAATGTTCTAAGAAAGGAAATTCAAAGCATGTTAATATGAAATAAGCAGGTAAAGAATTAATAAAGAAAGTAATTAGCGAGACCAGATTCAGCAAGGTCAGTTTATAAAAATTAGAAATTTCATCCTTTTTCAAAAAAATGATTAAAAAATATTTAAGTAAGGTATCTCAATAAATTTTACACCAACTTAAAGCACATGATGTTCTTAATATATAATAAACACAGAAACATAAAATAATCATTCTGCAAAACAATACAAGGCATCCTTCCTTAATGCCCAAAATCAAGAATTTTCATTACCTAACATTTTGCAAAAAGTGTTCTTACTTTTAAGAAAGTAATATAAATTGTGTAGGAAACATGTTAGCATTACTTTGTTATGAAAAACTGAATAACTCTACTATTTCTTTACTTATATACTATAAAAAGAAGAAATTCCATGCATTTTAAAAACTGATGAAGTAAGATAACTAAACTAAAATTCTTTTTAAATGACCCTAATAGAGTTGTGATGTTCATCTAGTTTTGTTACTCTGGTTCCTAATCATGACTTGTTTAGCATAAATTTACTTGTTACTAGTATATTTATTTCTTCTAGTTAGTTATTGATCAAAGTCAACTTCTGGAAATGTCTAGGTCCTAACTTATACAATTATCAGAAATCTTAGAGCAGGTTCAAAAAGACAGGTCAATATTCTGATTGGGAAAGTTCTCTATGAGGTTGGGTAGCATTTTAATTAATAGTCAAAATCCTGGTTGAGTTTGTCTTCTTCATGGTTTGGAGTAGCATTGTAATAAATGATTGTGAACTGGCAGCACAGATCAAATTATGGAATCGTAGTAGTAAGGGATCCTTCCATTGGTCCAGAGTATAGAAAATGTCTGTGAATTAAAACAATTAATTATACTGACTTATATAGCAGGCCTGTATATCTTTATACCAACTTAGATATCAATCATGTAACATTACATCATTATAAATAATAAGCAAAGTGCATACAATACTAACATTTGACATATGGTTTCCTTCAAAAGTATTCAGGAGTCCTGTTGTTGCTTACACAACAATACAAATTGTTTGGTAGGCCAATGAGTTTCCCCTTTCTTTTATGCTAATATCTTGCTCTGTAAATAGAATAATAATAATAATAAAAGTAATGCTGCTCAATGCTTTTTAGATATTAAATGTAAGCACTATAGATAGTTCTACTACTAAATATTATTAATATGAAAGCAATAGTGAATCTAACTAATCTAAGTAGATCTAGACTAAATCTAGAAACAACTTTGGACTAAACTATTATGGAAGGGGGGTTACATTTTATTTTAAGTCGTCTGTACAATAAATCTAGAGATAAAAAATGTAAAAGATCGTAATATTCTAAAATTTAATGTAACTGCTGCACATATATAGAATAGTTAACTATTATTAAACTAGGAAAGACAGAAAAGCAATGCTACAATAAATTGAAAGTATGCTGTTAACCGCTGCGGTAATATAATAGTTGAACCCGACACTACGCGAAAGTAAGAAAAAACATGGCGGACAGTCGGCTTGAAATATCGACAAAATATTGATAGTTTAATGGGCCGATGTTATTAACTAACATAATTTACTAAAACAAATTAAATTCTATCATCCTTTTAAACATCTTTTTGATTTAATTGTGCATTCCTTTTTTATTTCAGTGACCATAAATTAAATACAACGGACTTTTAAAAAAGGCTAGATAATTTTTTGGAAAAAATTTTTTTAAGCGTGGAGCAATTACCGATAAGCGGACACTAATATTCAAATGTATTAAAGCAGCAGTTAATCATAAATAAATAGAATATAGCTAGTAATATAATGTGCATTCAACTTACCTGCACGTGCTTTTAAATCCACTGTAATCAACGAATAAACACAAAATCTTGCTCTGAACCGAGGTCGGGTGTTCCGGAATTCAACAAAATCTTGACTCAAGCCGGCGAAATTTAGATGCGGGTCGTCGCGATTTGTATACATTGGTTTCATTTACTGCGGTCCGACCCCATACATGGAGTGTTCATTAAATCGTAACAGTTTTATGGCAAATTGGATGCCCTTTCGGAATATGCAACTTTGGCGGCTGTAAAATTATTTTTTCATGGAAAAAAATCATTTTAAAATTTTAAATTGAACATTTTTAGCATTTAATTATATTATACAGCTGGTAAAGTTATACCATCTTACAGAGCTACCATTCTTCTTTCTAAATCAGTGGTTTCTAATTGCGTATGTGTTATGGGGTCGGACCGCCGCGCGATGCCGCAACGCGACCAAAAATTTAAAAAACCGGCTTAAATTTTTCGGCTCATTTAGAATACCTATTGACAGGCACTCGTTGAACCTACTAGACTTAATAGTTCGGGAGCCAATGGAGCCTGCTACTGCTAGAGCTATGAGATGGGCAGATAAGTTTTAACTATCTTGACATTTCTAGCCGTGGCTAGCAGCACTTCCCTTGCTTTCAAAGAGAAATGCCAAAAATTATAAAAACAGAAAAACCAACATCTTTCAAAAATATAGATTGACAAAACATTACACTACATGAAAATTTTGCACAAGGTCAATTCCTGAAATGTTTTCAAACTACATTCAATGACAATAACCGTCAACAAGAATAACGTACATTTTGTATGAAAAAAAAAAAATCATTCAGGATCATGTTTTGAGTTTTTTTTATGCTTGTATGATATGATTGGGAGGATGTGAATTGTTGAAAAAAATCATTAAAGTATACATTGTAATAATAAAAAATTAATACAGGGAATGTTATTTGTATAAGCCAGGCTAAATGGTTTGGGAGGGTTAATGATAATGTAAAAAAAACAAAAGCAGCAACAACATGAACAGGACATACAAGTCAACAGTTGTGGGTTTGGTCAGATCATTTTTTTTTAAATGAGAAACTACTCCTGTTCTCTCCCCTCATCAAGAAGTTTTAGTTAATGGTAGATAATTAGATGAAATATAAAACCAAGGTGGGATTAGTAACATTACCCCTTCTTGCCCAGATTCACAAGATAATTAAGTTATCTAAGGATGCTAGATGTATTTCAGAAAAAATGCAAATAATTTTTTACTTTATTTTTGAATGATGAAGTAATTTTTGAATGATATAAGGACAAATACTAGGTTGCTAGACATATTCCCCCCCCCCCCCCCCCCGTTAAAAATAAAAGCATTTGTTTAGATTCAGTTGACTGATATGTTGTGAAGTCAGCTAAAATTGTTTAAATTCAGGGTATTTGTGGCTAAAAAATTTGCTAAGATTACATAAGAAGCTCTTATGTTATGTTGAGTGACAAATACATGTGCTAAATGAGCTGCTTGCCTACCAATACAGATATCATCATCACCAGTACACAACTCCAACTACAGATACCATCATCACCAGTACACAACTCCAACTACAGATACCATCAGCACCAGTACACAACTCCAACTCCAGATACCATCAGTATCAGTACACAACTCCAATTACAGATACCATCAGTATCAGCACACAACTCCAACTACAGATACCATCAGCACCAGTACACAACTCCAACTACAGATACCATCAGTACCAGTACACAACTCCAACTACAGATACCATCAGCACCAGTACACAAATCCAACTACAGATACCATCAGCACCAGTACACAACTCCAACTATAGATACCATCAGCACCAGTACACAAATCCAACTACAGATACCATCAGCACCAGTACACAACTCCAACTACAGATACCATCAGCACCAGTACACAACTCCAACTACAGATACCATCAGCACCAGTACACAACTGCTTCCAGACCAGAGCTCATTAGGGCAAGCACATAGCTGAAAACCTTCCACAGTACCAATGCAGACTGTGTGGAATTTATGTGTGCCAGGCATTTGACAGAAAGCCATTTTTCAGAATGGACGTTTGCGCCAATTAAACTATTTCTTAATAGCCGAATTACCAATAAGTAACTAATTTTTACTTCTTTTAATCAACTAATTATGACCCTTCGTTCAATCAACAAATTATGACCCTTCTTTTAATCAACTAATTACGACTTTTCTTTTAATCAACTAATTATCACACTTCTTTAAATCAACTAATTATGACTCTTCTTTTAATCATGAACCCAACATTGTATTCCCTTAAATAATTTAAAAAAAAATTATATTTATTTTAAATATATATATATATATTTCTCATTAGCAATTATTATTTGAATAAGCTTACAAAAATGATGCTACTAAGATGAAAAAAAAATGCTGCATAACTGGTAAATTAAAATGGTTATATGACCACACACAAGCTTACAGCAAGTAGTCCAATCACTGTTAAATTGGTCAGTTGTTGAGGAGAGTATGCACGAAGCACAGTTAAGTAAGAAGCTATTGCTTTATCATGCCAGTTATATTTCAGAGTTTATGAGAGATTACACTTGAGTTAAGCTAACAGTCATTTAAAAACAATGAAAAAGTTTACCATTGTAAATACCAAACAGACCACAGTCCTGGCCTATATGTTGTGCAAGTTCCTGCCCTACAGTAAATGGGGGCTCCTCTAAATCATTGCTATCTATAGTGTAATGTAGAAAGGGAAGTTACTCAGAATGTTTATTTATTATCTTCAACATAGGTGAGGAAGATAATTTTAAATTATTTTATAATAAAATCTTATTAATAAATTAGTGTACATCTGAAAAATAATTTTGAAATTTTTTTTTGTTACTTATCACTTGCAAAGGCTTTTAGCACACAAAAAACATTTTAAAAACAGCAGTAAAACAAACACATTTTACAGTTTTGAATTTTAAAAGTGCAAGTGGAGAAAATTGTCATCTATTCATAAAAAGCCAAATTTTAAACAGTTTATGAGTTTATGCAACAGAGTATTCTAAAACAATTCTACTATGTTCTTAGAACTTTAACAACCGAGAGCTAAAATATTTCAGAACTGAGTGATTATCTCTCACAGAAGTCATGTTTCTTAAAAAAAATGTTTAATTGGGTAACTTATGGTCCCCATCACCACACTACTGAATGCAAGGTACACACGACTAAAAGTAAAAGGGCCACCAAAAATAAATCTCTTCGAGACCTGCAAAAAGGATTTTTACAGTTTATCCAATACTCTCTGGTCACCAATAATCATTAAATTACACCAAACTTGTGTTGCTTTGCTAAGGCTGCTAAAAATTATTATTATAAAAAAATTAACTTACTAAATTTTATATAAAAAAACAAATAAAACGTATTTAAAAAATAAAACTTTGGTTGAGTTATAAAAATAATAATTACAATCAATGTTATATAAAAAATACTCCCAAAAAAATATTTATTGTGCATATATTGTTTTAGCAGGATGTGGTGTGCTAGAATGGGTAATCATTTCACCTGGTTTTGGGCAGGGTTAGTAAAACTTGTGAAACTACGTAAGGCGTTTAGTGGAAAGTTAAAAGTCTGAGGCAGCTATTGTACCAGTTAGAACAACAATGAACCAAAAGCCGTTGTGAAAGGGGTACACACGTTATTTCTGTTGATATATTTATTAGACTGTTAGATTTTAGTGAGACAATTTGAATAGGTCATACATAAATATACAGCATAACAGACAAGGCAATGCAATAATGAGAGACCACCTTTTCCTGTTTGTTAATGTACACTGATGCTAGGTTATATAGGGTACAGTGATTTGGAACCAACACTAAAAACAATGGGTATGGCCATCACTACATTAAGACAAAACTTGCCATCAAGCAAAGCTAAACTTACATGCACGGGCTGTGCCAGTTTCTGGAGCTTTAAAAGAAAAGAAACAAAAAAAAAAACATAGGACATAGCTTTAAGCAGCTGGGTTGGTGAATATTGTGTTCAAGTAGGCAGCACTTTCACTGGTTGTCTCCCTTCTGTGTCTAACAGGAATAACTTACTGTGCCCAAAACAAAAATTAAACTAATGCAGCACAAAGATAAAAAATATGAAAATATTTTTATCTTAATTTTTCTTAACATGACAGTGTCTGTTACTAAATGTTTATTTGATTATTTATGTTTAAGTTTGATATGCTCTATTTTCGTTATTAGATTTTTTGTGAAATAACAGTAACTCAAAAAAAAAAACCATTTAACTAAAATTTCAAAAGTTGCTTTTAGGTTGAAGAGAATCAAATGATTTTATGAATATTAAAACATATCAATAAATCTGCAGAACAGCTGGCATTGTTATCTAATTCATCAGTGAATAGCTGACAGAAGGTTGTGATTCAACAAAACAAGAACTGACTAAATAGGATATCAATACATCAGAGAACAACTGACAAAACAGAATGTCCTGATAGGTGAGAGAACATCTGACAAAACAATGTCCTTATAGATCAGGGAACAACTGACAAAACAGAATGTCCTGCTAGATCAGGGAACAACTGACAAAACAGAATGTCCGGATGCACCAAAGAACAGCTAACAAAATAGAATGTTTGCTGGTGGAGGAGTATAATTTAATTATTTCTTGATGCGCTAAAAAATAATCTAGACTTACAGACATTTTTTTTTTATGTATCTAGGTCTAAGATTCTAAATATCTCCTACCCTTCTGAAACTTACAAATGATACTTTCACTCACAAAACAATTAGATGAGATTTAAGCATGATCAAATTGTTTTTAGCATACAAAATGTGCAACTAATATAGCAAAAAGCCATCAAGAAAAAATGTAAATATATTGAGACATTATTTTAAAATATAGCCAACAGCTAAAAGCTTTGAAGAGGTGCAGTGTTAAAAACTGTATCAACTTATATGCTTACATATACTTGGAAGATTTTTATTAGATATGATTTTTCGCTTTCACAACACTAAATATAAAATGTTTAATATAAAAACACTATAAAAACGTAACACTAACCATACATGCTAATCTAAATATGTTTTTTCTGCCACTGCTAAAGCTACAGTAATGCAAAAATTAAAACACTGAGTTATTAAAATTTCACATCTACACCCAAGATGAGTACGCATTTGAAGAGACTTACAAGCATTGGCCTGGCTCCTACGTGCCCCACCCACAATGCGGTCTCCGAGGTTTATCAAGTTTCTGCTTAACAGTCTTGCTCTCTCAGAGATTGGTCTGAAAAATAATGACATCAATAATTACATCAAATTCCCTAAATCATCTCATTATATTATTATAGCATAACAAAATGTCATTAATTACAATACCATGAACAATAAACATAAAATAAAACAATGAATAATAAAGTTTTTTAAAAAACCTGTTTCAAATATGAAACAAAATATTCTGAGTTCAAATATTTTTAGTATTTAAATCAACAGCTATGTCTATTATTAATCAAATGCTTGAATTTATATGAAATACAGCCCTAGAGTGTGTATTAACTAATATTTGAATGTAATTTGTTTGATTACTGCTAAATAACCCAAACCACAACTATTATTGTACTTATTGGTTCCCAGAAATATGTGCATCTGAAAACCGCGCAAGGAGAAAAATGTGCAAATACAAACTATACTGATACACTTTCAATGAGTAATATTTTGATGAAAAATGTTGTATTATGCTACAATGAATGTTTAGTCATTCTTTGCTAAGGTCTATAAATGATTGAGTTAGAGAAAATAAATTCCCTTGCACACATTGTATCTGCAGTTTTCCATTGCACATTTTTCCGTTAGCGCATCTTTCTGGTCCATCTACAAAACTGATTTTCAGCAACTAAAACAACCACTTTTTTTAAAAACTATAGAAACAAAAAAAGGTATTTAAGTAAAAAAAAAAAACAGCAACAACTCAACAGAAACTATACACAAACAACTTGGAAATGTGGCAAGTGGAGGACATAAATGTAAATAGAACTGTTAGAACAATCTTTGGAACAACTGTTCCCAAATTTCTGTAGGTGTTGTAGGACAACCTATAAAACTATATAAAAAAATAAGGAACCGGCTTTAAAGTGAATTAAAGTAACCATGAAATATGGAGAACCTGCTTTAAAGAAGATAAATAACTGTTAACAGAAGTATCAATCAGTTAATTATTGAAGGTGTCATATTAAGGTTTAAGACCTAATACTGAAAAAAACCTTCAATAATGGAATTGTATTGATAATAACACTTAGTATAAAAATATAATTCATACATAAAAAAAGTAAAATGAACATTTCGTCAATAGTTTTAACATTCCAACAATAATAGCAAAGATATCATTCCGAAAGTTAAAAAAAGTTCTCAAAATTAAAACCATAAAAATGTAATCAAAACAAAATCATGTGAGTAATTTTAATCCAGAAAATTCTTAAAATCAAATATAAAACCAAACTAAAACCACCAAACTGATGTAAGTAATTGTCAACAACTATGCATCACAAGTTAAAGTCAATTCATGCGCAGCAAAGTTTATTCAATATATCTTGGAGTAGCAATCTTTATTCTATGACTGACAATTTAATACTGCAATCTTTATATACATAAAAGTTATCTATTTACAAAGTGCAAAAATTTGCCTTATAAAATGTGTATGAAAAGAAATGGAAGTATACACTTTTAGATGGGTAGAATGTACACGGCAAATATTTTATAGAACTACATGGCACAGTTTGAGGTATCATGGTGAATTTTACTGAAGGAAACAATGACAATGTTTAAATTAACAAGTAGGAAAATGAATCATTGTTTTTTTTATTAACTGTTTTTCTCATTATAGAGATTCATTCATTTCCTTTAAAGCAACAGGCATGATTTATGTAACAGCATTCAGGGGCCTACCATAAATAAAGCCATATACAAGAGGAAGAGAGGAACGAACCTTTGTGATGTAGCATGACTGATGGTTGTATTATAACATTTTTATTACCATATAGTTTTAATAATATCCTAGTTTGGTTTTTTAACAAATAACATCACATGACAATATGCTTATCTGAATCAATTTGCTATTAGCAACTGTTGTGGATAAAATATAAGTGTACATTAAAAAAATTGCAAATAATTTGATTCTGATTATTTTAGAGCCTACATCTATAACTGTTTTCCCCTTAGCTTAACAATGAAGAAGACTAAGCCACTAAAGTATTGTCTATTACATTAAAAACAAGTTAAAAGCATATTAAGTTAGAAAACATTTTATCAGAGAGGGGGGGGGGTCTAGTTTTTTTGTGAGTGAGGGGGTTAAAATCTTCCCAAAAAAGCTTGACGTCATTTATGGATGGCCCTTTTTATTTTATCTTCTATCATATGGATATTGCTCAAGAGCTGAGACCTTTGGAATGTTATGATGTGAAACTCTCTTACCTCAGGAGATTTGCTAATGGTCTGCCACTCTTGGTTGAACCAAGAGTGTTTAGACCACAGCAATTCTGTTGGGATGGGTTGTGAACCTCCTACTGTGGTTAACAAGAGTGTGTCAGTAATTATTTACTTTAACATTGGCTTCACTAACAAAAATGATAAAGAAAACTACTCTTCTTGACTACATTACTTGGAAGGAGTAAGAGAAACCCAACTTAGTACACTGAGCCTGTAAAATATTAGCAAATCTGTGAGCATGATTGAGAAAAGACAGAAGTTTTAGAATTATTGTTTCCCAACAAAAAGAGTTGTTACATTTTTTTTTTAGTTTTGATTTATAAATGCTCTTCATGTGCCCTACCCCAATATCACAGCACTTTAAAACCAGATAACCAGTGTATTACCTTACAAGATGACGTTGTGACGAAGGCTTCCTTTTTTTCTTATGTTGAAAACATTTTTGTAAACTTACTGTTAATTACTTTGAAATTGAAGTGATAATAATATGGAAAAATGACTTAAAATGCTACTTATATTTAAATTTTCTTTTAAATCTTACAAAACAAAGTACCGGCTAAAAATGGATGATAACATAATTGAATGGTCCCCTTTTATTCAAAACATTTACTTAATTTGGTTGTTAAATGCTCTGTAAGCAAGATAGGTGGTATTTCATGATATGACTTATTAAGACAGCCAAAATGGTGACAGAAAAATACTAAAACAATAATCTCTAGAGGTTTTTTACATTGCATAAAATAGGGCTACGTTAAAATTAAAAGCAATAAGTGTCAGATATATGTTGTAAAAAATGAGTAATGATCAGAAATGAAAACTAAAACTATTTTTTTGGTTTATAAACTTCTATGACTTTTTCTTAAATCATGCTCACATATCAGCCAATGTGTTCAGAGTGAAGGTTGGAGATGTACCACTTCACAACAGGGGGTGTGATTCCTACGGTAACGAGACCTCTCAATGCTAATGAGTAAAATAACAGATCTCTTCAATCAGTTTAAACGGAGGTCTCCGTACTTGGAGCACGAATTCGAACTGAACACCTGTTTCTGGAAACACAAAAAAGTCAGTGTCAATGTCTAGAGCTCCACGTGGGTTTACTACTACTTCACAACAACAACACAAAGGAATGCTGGGAAGCTACCAGAGAATGCTGGGATACTACGTTACTGGTTAAGTACTCCATCACCAAATGCCTCTGAGACATTCCTTGAATTTTGTGTTGAACAAATACATTTTAAAACATTTGCCACTGCATATATTATGATGATCTCATTTCCAAAAGAAGCAGATGAAATCTAAATATTTTAATATAATTACAAATGTAATGAACAATAAAACAAACTGTATTTACAAGACCAATTACATCTCAAGAGACAATTTTCTTTTACAATGATTCATTGAAAATTTTTGTTACAAAAATAAAAAATTTAACAAGTATACAAATCTATTTTACATATAACTTACTGACATGACAAAATTTAACCGATGACCTAAAAAAAGGAAGTTTTGTTCAATACTGGATACTATATTTCTGACCACAAATCAAAGGTATTTTTTTATATTTTCAGGGAGTAAATTATAAATTTGAAAGGGAACATTTGATTAAATAAAACCAAAATTGATATATTTAACAAAAATTTCATTCATCAAAACTTGGGGAGGAAAAATTTGTCGAAATGGGATTTCCATTAAAAAAAAAAGACAAGTTACATCTTCAATTACTATACAAGAAACACAAATGAACACAACTAACTTGGTAAATAAAAATATTAATGCAAGAACAATTGTGTATTCAATCAAACTGTAGCATTTAAATTCGTTAGACAACTATGTTATCAGTTGCCTAAGCTTTAGATATTGCTAGCAAAAAATAAAAGTTAGAAAATACAAAGCTGACATCAAAATAGCATAAAAGAAAAACGAAGCACAATACTACATAACAGGTTAACAAATCATGGGCAGATAATTAATAGCAGTCCTTCAATCTAACCTACTAAAGCAATGTTTCATTAATGACCTACTAAGGACCTTCCTTCAACCTTGATCTAAGGCAAATTTTTCATCAGTGACCTACTAAGGATCATCATTCAACCTTGACCTACAAAGAAACTGGAAAACTACTCACTGGATTCTGTTCAAGCTAGAAAGATTTACAATAAAAGTAGTTGAATATTTGTCTAACCTACCAAGGCTGTGGTTCAAGAAAATCAGTTTGGGTAAAGATCATTCAATGAAACAAGTTACTGTAAAGATTAGGAAAATGACCAGGTTATATAATAATTCTTGTTAAAGTAATAATAAAATGTTTCTCTATTTCTTCTTGCTAAGGTAAAAAAAAAGAAGCTTTAACTTTAAGAGAAAAAAAAAGAACCAAATGGCTTTTCTGTCTAGGATAGCCCAAGAGATCAGCTCCCTGGTCACATCATCCTACTATCAAGCTACACAGAACAACACAGGGGCAGGCAAAGGAAAACAGAGGAAGCAACAAAAGGAGAGGCAAACTGGCTCACCTCAATCTTTTCCTAAGTGCCGACTCTATCTTGATTTCTTTGTGGGCCAACTCTAATTCTTGCACTGACTGCCTATGGGTCTTGAAGAACTCTCTCCTAAATCTATGGTTGTGCAACAAAAATAAAACAGAAAATCATTAGCTTTGTCTATTGGGAGGATATATATTTCTTAGATTAATAGCTGAAAGTTGTTTAATGACTAAGTTACAATTCATCCGTCTAATGTACATCTATTATGATTTAGGGACATTTTTAATAGGTAACACAATTTATAGCACAATACATAAATTACAACAAATGCAAACAATGAAGATGGGACAGGGTGGTCATATGGTAGAGCAATTGCCTGTAAACCTGAAAGCCTCATGTTCAGGTCATGGGCTTGAGTATGTAGGACGTCTTTGAGTTTACCCAGCTATGATGGGTACCCTACTCACACAAATAGGCAGATGTCACAGAAACAGTTAAACTCTACTTCACCAGTTCAATAGACAAGTTTCAAAAGGGTAACTTTACTTTTTTTTTGTTTATTTTTTTTTTACAAAAGAAGAAGACTGGGTAAGAGTATTATATTAATCTTAGGGTTTCTTATTTTATTACGGACATCTCATCTTCTGTATCTTTTACACCCCACTTGGCTTGAAATATATGAACTCATCAACAAACCAAGTGAAATCTCCAGGTGAGGTCCTTCAAACCATCTGGTCTCACCACCAACCATCTGGTCTCACCACCAACCATCTGGTCTCACCACCAACCATCTGGTCTCACCACCAACCAACTGGTCTCACCACCATCCATCTGGTCTCACCACCAACCATCTTGTCTCACCACCAACCATCTGGTCTCACCACCAACCATCTGGTCTCACCACCAACCATCTTGTCTCACCACCAACCATCTGGTCTCACCACCAACCATCTGGTCTCACCACCAACCATCTGGTCTCACCACCAACCATCTGGTCTCACCACCAACTAATTACCAGGTCTCACCACCAACCATCTGGTCTCACCACCAACCATCTGGTCTCACCACCAACTAATTACCAGGTCTCACCACCAACCATCTGGTCTCACCACCAACCATCTGGTCTCACCACCAACCATCTGGTCTCACCACCAACCATCTGGTCTCACTACCAACTAATTACCAGGTCTCACCACCAACTACCTTGTCTCACCAGCTACCAACTACCTGGTCTCATCAACTACTACCTCACTGCACAAACACCACACCATTTGTTGTGCATTTAAAAAAAAAAGTTAAATTTTCTTCATAAGAGAGTGACTTAAATCAGCGTACACCATTCAATTTGAGTACTCACACTTTCCATACGATATCTCTCAGCAGTGCTGTAAATGGAATGATTAGAAGACCCAACCAAAATAATGAACAGCCGAGTACATATTGATCCTGGGGGAGAGAAAACATTCAAAGGTCATCAGATGATCAATGGAGTCAATCATTACAACCTTGGTTAAGTCAGCAGAATAACCAAACTAGCATGACTGCTGACTTCTGTTAGTTGACTGCTTTCTGGGGTTTAAAGAACAGGGTGAGTTTTGGGATAGGGAATTTTAAAAATTAAATTCTAGAAGTTTTTTGTATATTTATGTTGGAATTATCACAAAACTAGTGATCTACTAGGTTTCAGATTACAGGCATTAATGTTTTTATACTTTTTCAGTAGGCAATGCACATAAATGTTGACACACAATTTGAACAGGCTTGACCCTACCCTCCTCGGTTAAGTTCAAATGTTTCATCCCCACCCAATTTTAATTCTAGTGAAAATTAAAGTTATGGGTAATTTATTTTTTAAGAAATTTACTACATTACATTTTTTAAATCCACTTTTCAAGTCCCGTCAAAATGACACAAAGTCAAAACAAAAAGCTTTTACTATACACTAAATGTATCATTGATGGATGACCCTATGCCTTTTTAAAACTAAGTACACAAACACTGGTTTGTTCAACAGTTTTTTTAAGTCTTTATACAGCAGCTACATAAGTTTTAAATTTAAAAAACAAATGGTCATTATTTTACTTACTAAGCTTTTGGTTATTATTTTACTAAACTTTTTCCAAATTAAACTAAATTAAAAAACAAGAAGAGAAACAAACCATTCCAATCATTTCTGGAGAGAGGCGCACTATTTCATAAATATGACTGTAGCAGACCAGGAATATAAACCAGCATGCAACGCTCCCCCAGATTGCCAGGTGGGTCAGCTAATTTTAGGAAGACAATCATTAAAATACATTAGATCTAATTTTGGGAAGACAATAATTAAAATACATTAGATCTAATTTTGGGAAGACAATAATTAAAATACATTAGATCTAATTTTGGGAAGACAATAATTAAAATACATTAGATCTAATTTTGGGAAGACAATAATTAAAATACATTAGATCTAATTTTGGGAAGACAATAATTAAAATACATTAGATCTAATTTTGGGAAGACAATAATTAAAATACATTATATCTAATTTTAGGAAGACAATAATTAAAGTACATTAGATCTAATTTTAGGAAGACAATAATTAAAATACATTAGATCTAATTTTGGGAAGACAATAATTAAAGTACTTTAGATCTCCAGTCATATAGAGATGTAACTAACTAAAATAGGGCGGGTTAGATTAATAGAATGTCTCATATTTTATGATGAAACAAGAAAATTTTGAACATTTAAGAGCAGAGGAAAGAACCAGGCAAAAGGGGTTGGTGTGTTTGGGTCAGTAAAGCTCATGGTTGCATAGCTGTAAAGTCCTAAGTTTAAAACCCCGGGCAAATGAAAATTGATAGCTGGGGACAGCAACTCAGTTAGGAGAAAACTCTAAAATAAACAACTGCTGCCTGAAGTTTGTTCTTGGATTGACAAAGGCTATGGAAGCAAACCCAAAAAGAAAAGCAGGCTGAAATTGTATTCAATGGCCTATATGGAGTATAACAGGTTATAATACTCAATCTGTGTTGGAGGAAATCCCATCCAACATTACAATTTAGAACGAAGAAGAAAGAAGATATAAAAGAAAAAGTAAATGATAAATAATTAGCCAAGATATAATTTAATTAATCACACAACAAAAGAGATATAAGAAGTAGGCTTTTATTATTGCCTATATAAGCATAACAGAGATAACGAAGTCAAACATTTCTTTTTTTTTTTTAAACATCAGATGGCTTGTAAAATATGAAGATTTATACACACACACTACTTAAGAAAAAAGAAGTGGAATATAAAATGTTACACAAGAAGATTTAAGGTGCTCATTAGAGTAATTTGCCCACAACGTAATGTAAAAGCTTATGAATCAAAATTGATATGACATACCCAGGTCCAAGCCACTATTTCCAGTCCAGCTTTAATGCTTACTGTGATGACAACATACTGTGAAATATTTGCAAATGGTTTTAGTTGATTAAATCAAGAAACTAGTCTAGTTAAACAGCAAGTCCTGCTCACAACACATATTTATGGTTCAAGGGTTTTATGGCTCTATTTATACATTCAGTATTGTTAAGATGTTTTATTTTGATTATTAAAGATTTGTACTTGCTATTTTGTCATAAACTGAAAAAATCTTAAAGTCTTAAAAAATTTAGACTTACTGTATAGATAAAGTTTCCTAAAAACAAGTAGTCTCCAACTTTGCCATCAGAAAATGCTATATCTAAAACCAGAAAAATTGCCATCAGCTTTTCCACGAGTCATATTTATGATCATGCAATCCACCTTTTTTTACGTCTACAAATAATTTTTTTTTGGTAAAATTACAATTATTTTCCCAAAGCTGGTATTTTCCAGATATTTTAAAAGTTTGGAGAAACTAAATTTATCATGTGTGCCATTGAGCCCCGCCCCCCCCCCTCCCCCCACCAGAAACCATACTAGCAATGGTCAGCTAGCATTACATACCAGTTCTTAGTGTTGCTACAGTCATCCAAAACAGCACCACTGCATGGAAAACAGCATTGAAGATCCAGATCCAAAATGTCTAAGGAAAGAATACAAAATCTGTATTATCAGAAATGACAGTTAACTTGACTGTTTTTTTTATTATTTTACAAATTCTTTGACAGGGGTCCTTTAGTTCTCTCCCATCATGAAGTTAATGATTGTACTTTGGTAACATAGTTCTTGAGTATATGGCTAGCCCCAAAGAGAAAAATGTTCAAACTGCAAACATACCAGAACATTGAAGAGGACGCCATTTTGTGAATCTTTATATAAAATAGGATTTTTCATCATGGTCTCAGCAGAACAGAATCTGTCAAACAAGCCCATGGCTAAAGGTGGTGCAGCAGTGAATATCTAGGCAACCAGATCAAACAAGACATTAGTACACACTTTCCTTAATAGCTGGTTCACTTTTCAACATACAAGTTACTTACATTTATAAAATTTGATTGATGCAAAACTTTCTAGAGCATAACAATTAAGTGTTTTAACTTTCTTGAGTTCAAGTGCAAACTGACCATGCTTTTAACTATCATACTTCAACAGGTTTTCTTTTTTTAAAAGGTATGCAACTTTCCAAGTTAACATTTTAAAAAGACTGCGACTATTATAAATCTAGCATTTCATTCAGAAACACAGAAAGAAAGCATGCAATCGATTGCGTGCAACACTTTAGCATGCAATTATTTGCAATAAAAAACAACTAGAGACTGGTATGAAAAAAAAAGGTCATTTTTTTTTAAAAGGATGGCTTTTTAGGTATGTACTACACATACATCTGAGTAGCATTATATTTGTAATGATTTGGAATTAGCTAGGATTTTTTTTATAAGATTGTGGTTTTTAAGATTCAATATTTATAGGCTACTAAAAATATAATACAGCATAAATAGAAATTTTTATTTTCTCGTGTTAATTAAATTAAAGGGAGCTACTATAATATTTAAATGAACTGAGAGGATGACAATCCAAAGGCATACAAACATGAAATAAACACAACAAATGATGTTTCAACCAAGTCTTTTAGAATAAACAAAGTAAAAAAGATCAATAATAAATAGCTTAAAAAATCTTTATTACAACCTTTTCTAAATTTTTCTTTCAAGTTTGAAATCTCAGATGTTGTGTTTATCTTGTGAGTGTTTAGAACTATATCTTTTTCTCTCTAAATGTCAGATTGTGTTTATTACTGTTTTCAGAGGGGTAGTTAGTCACTATTTAAAAACCAAATAAAGATAAAATAAAGATACATACCACATTATAAAGACCTAGTGACCACCTTTCAAAGAGAATCTGACCTGAATAGCCATTGCTCAGTTGAAACCAAAACTGTCACATGGGATAAGGGGAAATAACCATAAAACAAAAATACACCAAATAAAATTATTTCAAGACAACTAAAAGGTGTTGACTCTTCAACTTAGACAAACAATGGAATCAGCAGAACATCATTGTTATTGCGTAGGCTGTGAAAATATTTAGTTACTATTTTATAAAATCATACATTAGTTGTGTAAGCATTTAAGGAAAAAAAAAGTAAGTATTGTTGTCAGCTGATTAGATTGTAGGCACATAGTAGAGCTCAGCAACACCTTACACTTAAGCTAGAGATAGAGAAACACAGTAATGAACGTCATAGTGGTCACTATCTACACCTGTGATCTTGGCGGTGAACCTCTGGCTTGCTAATGAGAATTAATGGGTCACACAAAAATAAGAACCAGGCTCAAACAAAGAGAACAAAACAACATTGCAACAAAAACGTGCAGTTCTAACACAACTTGTGTTGAAAATAATGTTAAGCTTCAAGTTTGTCTTACCAGTTAATGTACAATTTGTCAATCAGGTAAATTTAGGTTATAGCAAGTCTATTGTACATCTATGTATATGCATGTAGCAAATCTTCATTTAATTGGGTATATTTTGTCTGTACAAAAAGTTTAATACAAGAATAGCTCTGTCTTTGGAACCTAGCTAATATTTATTTGATTTGTTAAATCAAATTTGTGAACATTTAAACTTATTTACTACTGATTTATTTCAAAGATTGATTTCGCAACCTGAAATTCTATGCTATTAAAATAACAGAGGCCTCATATCTACATAAATAACAGCACTGTGAAAATCAAGTGACACAGACTATCAACTAGGAATATAGGAGATGTAAAAAAATAACACACACAAAAGAGAATCTAAGGTACAAGCATGGGGCCCAGTTTTTCTCTTGGGCCACATACCACATTGTATAATCCAAGAGACCATTTTTCAAACAGCGCCTGGCCTGAAAAGCCATTTTCCATTGTGAACCAAAACTGAAAGGAATTTGTTTGGTGTATATTTTGTCAACAAATTAGGGTTAGCATGAACACACATCCTGGCAACAAAGCTGGTTATTCATATGTAACATTTGTATAATAATAGCAAAAATAACTTATAACATGAAATTTATACCATTAAAAATATTTTTTAATAGTAAAATCAAATCAATGAAGTCAATACAATTTATATATATATATAAAAGAAGCAGAATTTTATTACAAATGAAAGAAATGTTAAGTTCAATATTGTACTAATATAACAATTTTAATATTTTATAATACCGATTTTCTCCTGTCTAAACAGCTATGCCTAAACTGGTTGGATATAGTAGTGACATAGTCACCTCCCTTGTATAGTGACCATCACAATAATTAAATAATGTATGTTATACTAATAAGTTAAAAACACATTACCTGTATCACATACAAGCATATGTTCTTATAGAAGCTGTAAAGTATAAGTTTACAAACACGGCTGTAGCTCCACGCTCCGTGAACCAGCAGCAGTTTTTGAAGGAAACGGAACTGTGAGAAGAAAAAGTTAATTTTACTTGAAATTGAATCAACATCAGATGTTATGTTAATTACTTTAAATGTATTGTATCTATTATTTATGTTGTTTACAAATATACCTGGGCTATTGAATAATCTGATGCACATGCTGCCTGCAGACCCTCTTCTCCACTGATGCCAACACCAACATGGGCAGCCTAGAGAGATGAATTTATTAGGAATTGTATGAGGGTGAGTTTGTCAGGAATTGTTGAAGGCGAATTTGTCAGGAATTGTATGTAGGTGAGTTTGTCAGGAATTGTATGTAGGTGAGTTTGTCAGGAATTGTATGAAGGTGAATTTGTCAGGAATTGTATGCGGGTGAATTTGTCAGGAATTGTTTGAAGGTGAGTTTGTCAGGAATTGTATGTAGGTGAGTTTGTCAGGAATTGTATGAAGGTGAATTTGTCAGGAATTGTATGCGGGTGAATTTGTCAGGAATTGTTTGAAGGTGAGTTTGTCAGGAATTGTATGTAGGTGAGTTTGTCAGGAATTGTATGAAGGTGAATTTGTCAGGAATTGTATGCGGGTGAATTTGTCAGGAATTGTTTGAAGGTGAGTTTGTCAGGAATTGTATGAAGGTGAGTTTGTCAAAAATTGTACAATGGTGAATTTGTCAGGAATTGTAAGAGGGAGAATTTGTTAGGAATTGTGTGAAGGTTAATTAATTCATCAGGAATTGTGGTAAGCTGAATTTGTCAGGAATTGTACAATGGTAAATTTGTTAGGAATTGTATGAATGTGAACTGGAACAGGGTTAATAATTGAGCATTTCACTCAACTATGCTATGTAAACTACACACAGAAAAGTGCATTTATCCCACAAACAGCTTCTATGAGGTCTTAGCCAAGCCAAGAAATGCCATAGTTACCTGTATCATGCCAACATCATTAGCACCATCTCCTATGGCCAGTGTTATAGCTTTTTGTGACACTTTGACCAAGTCAACCAGCTCAGCTTTTTGTAGTGGTGACACTCTTTAGAAGAAAATTATTTGAACATTATACATAGTTGAATAACAAAAATGATTGAGAAAAGTTTAATATTGAATTAACAACCTATGATGAATACAAAACAGCAGTTTTGATTGATGGAGCTAACAAGACTTACATATCCACATAGTGTAACAATTATGTATTGGACTGACCTACAACAAATAACAGCTTTACAGCTTAATGCTATTTCAAGGAAGTCTTGCTTGCAATCACAGGTTAGGGCATATTTCAGAGACTTGAAAAGAAAAACAAGTTCCTTATTAGTCAGGCAATTCAAGTACACAAATATGGATATTATACAGAGCATTTGATTATTCTAGAAACAATAGCAGTCTAGTATCAAGCTGATTTTTTTTAACTTTTAGGGTTAGAGTCATGGTTGGACTAGGGTTAGAGACACCGGCAAATAATAACTGATACACACCCAGGTGGCACAAACTTAGAACCAGATTATTTTAATTAATCACACCTATTTTACTACCAATAAATGATATTAGTTCTTTAACTTACTTGGCTCTCATTTCTGGAACTTACTTAGCTATTACTCTTACAATTTAATGTCTATGTTCTATAACTGACATGAAGATCAAGGCTTTAACTTACTTGGCCATCAATTATAAGTCCTACATAATTCTCCTTCCCTAAACTTTCTCCAAACTGGCCCTTGTGGCGAATTAAAGCATCTCGTGTACTCTACAGAACAAAAGCAGGTAACATTAATGTGTTCACAACAAAAACCTTGTAATGTGTGTAAACAGAACAAAAACATGCAGCATCAGCACAGCACATACTCTACTGCATTAAAATAAGTAATTAGTGTGCAGGAGGATAATTTATTATGCATACATTTTAGAACACCTTTATTCCTACAGATATTCTAGCATTATTTAGGTAATGTTTATACACAGGATATTGCGTTCTCAAAAAAATCATAATAAAGTTACATCCTGTAATACCATTTTGTGTTACTCTATACTATATTTCAGAATAACTAAACAAAGAATTACAAATATATATTAAGGCTCAATTGTTTATGAAGCCAAGGGGGTAGCTAACCATTAAATTACCCTTAAGACTTACATCTAATGAGGTCTCATTGACGATGATCAGATCCATATTTTGATTCAGTAGTTTACAAGAGTATCCTGGAATAGTGAAGCAAAATGTTTTATCAATCAAGGGAATAAAATAATAATCATACATTTAAAACTATAACAGAAAAATTTAAAGTGATACATTTATAACCAGGCGTATATATCAAAATAAAATTAAACCAGTCCCCTTGAATTAAATAGTTTTTTAGGACAAGATTTTGGAGCAGTTTTTTTTTCATAAAAAGGAATCATCCCATTCTTACCCAGACCTGCCTTTAATTTTTCAGCTACTGAATAAATAAATAAATCATGCAGGCCATTTGTGGTATGCAGCCAAAGTCCTACCTCTATTGTAGGTAGTGTACAGAACAAAGTCCTACCTGAATTGTAGGTGGTGTACAGGTGTTTATGTATAAAACAATGTCCTACCTATATTGATGGCAGTTTCCTGCTTGTCCCCTGTTAGGACCCAGATCTTGATGTCTGCTTTACTCAGGGTGTCAATAGTTTCAGGCACACCCTGAAATAACAGATTTGTTAATTTATGTTGATGAGGAGAACAAATTAATTATGCTAATGTGCCATGATTACATATTTATTAATGTTTGTATAGCAGATTAGAGACTAAAATTAAAACATGGCAAATACATGACAATACTTGGAATACAGAGCAAAATACATGAACTAAAATAATTAAATATATCAATATATAAGGGGTCATCCATTTATGACGTCCACACTGCGGAGGGGGGGGGGGGGTGGTGGGTTTAGTCGGAAAAAAATTGACTTTTGTGGACGCGTATGGACTTTTATAAGGGAAATAAGTAGATTTTTGTGGACAAGGGGGGGGGGGGGGGGGGGTGGGTGGGTGTGGGGTGGGTGGGTGTGTGTCCAAAATAAAAAAAAATGTGTGGATGTCATAAATGGATGACCCCTAACCAGTGATTCACAGTTTGTAACATCATTCATGTCTTTTCAGGTTACAAAAATTAATTCAGGTAAGAGGTTTCAGATTTTAAAGAGATAGCAAAACAAATGATTAAAACCTATAAATTAACAGCATTTTGTAAACAAACAATTGCTTACATCTTGTAGCCTATCTTCTATAGCTGTTGCCCCGATCAGGCGTAAATCCTAAACAAAACAATAAGAGAAGTTTAGTTAGATTAGCAATAATAACAATAAGGCCTAAGTACAGATAATTTTTTTCACAAGAAAAAAATCCTGTTCTAAAAATAAATACTATTTTAATTTAGTAAAAAAAAAAAAAAAGTAATCAATGTTTCTTTCATTTATAAAAGTAGTCCTACTTTTTCAATAAGTTCAGCAGCTTGTTCTAGCTTCTCTTCCCTGTTTTGTATGGAGGTGCTGGCCTTGTGGAAAGTGTGAGACCAGTCATCATAAAATTCCTCAGTAATTTCAGCCATTGCTATACACAAGGTCCGCAGGCCTGAAACACATGAGAAACCTTTGCTTTTTTTTCCCTTTTTAAAATTTTTTGAAACAATATTCATTACAAAATAAACTTTCAATGTAGCTGTCCCTTTAAAACTTTTACTTTCAATAATTATAATAACGTTAAAAATTGTGTAATTGTTTTTCCAACTTATTTCCATTCTTGACATTTACATAAAATTTTATTTTGAGAATTATTTAAGGAGTCATTTCCCCTTACCAATGCTGGCAAATTGTTCTAAATGATTGAGGGTTTCTTCTGTGAAGTCCTGACTTCCTAGTCTTTCATAGATCACATTGTCCTACAATATAAGACAAAACAATTATGGTAGTCAACAACACAATCTAGAGAACAGACAACAAAATTATGGTAGTCAACAACACAATCTAGAGAACAGACAACAAAATTATGGTAGTCAACAACACAATCTAGAGAACAGACAACACAATTATGGTAGTCAACAACACAATTAAGAGAACAGACAACACAATTATGGTAGTCAACAACAAAAATAAGAGAACACAAGACAATTATGGTGGACAGATAACACAACCAGCTTCCCTCAACCCTTTACCAACATAGCTAAGCCCATTAGGCCACACAAAAATTACTTACCGCGCCTTTACAAAATAAGACAATCTTATTTTCTGGTGTCCTCACTACCACAGACATCCGTTTTCTTTTACTGAAATTAAACAAGCAAATTTGAAACAAGTAAACTAAGTTATTATTTTTAAATGAATTAACTAATTAGTGATATTGCTTTCTATGGTCTTCCCAATCAACTCTCAATATTCTTTTTTGGGTATATCTTTTTATAAGCAACATGACTAGTAAACAAGTTTATGACTTATACATATTTCTATTAGTAGTCCATGAGATAATTGTCTTACCTTGTAAATTCTAGAACACTAAGTATTTTATATGTTTTAGGCTCCCCCATCTGAAAGTAGAGATTTTGTTACATTTGCAGTCAAACCTTATTAAATAAGTAAAGCTGCCATGGCAACACAAGCTTACTGCATATTCTGGTGTTAAGTAGAACAGCTAACACAAACTTACTACATTGACAATGACATTTTCTGGTGTCCGTGTTGTAAAGACATACTGCAAATCTTTAGCTGCTTTCACTAAAGCTGCTTCATCTGCAAGTTTCAAACAATTTGTATTCGTTTAGTTAAAAAAGTTATTTTTTTAAATTTAAAAAATAAGAAAATAGCAGGGATACAAAATTATGTTGAATATCTTTAACAAAAAACTTTATTTTGAAAATAAAACCTAAAAATAAAAAAAATACTTTGAATTGTTTTGTTTAATTAAGTAATTAACACAGATATTTAATTAACACCGTATAGTCTCATCAAAATACTTTTCTAAAACAAAAATCTAAACCTCAAGTTTGACATTTAAAAACACTGAGCTTTGTTTTGCTAAAACATTACTATAAAATACAAATCAAGTAAATATCAGATTATAATAAAAAAATACTGTGCATTGCTTTTGTGATAAACCAATCAGCAGCAAGCTATGTAAGATTGTTGCAATACCTGGTGAGGAGGCCAGGTAATTCACCTCGCCTGTTGTGGCATTCACCTGAGGTACAACGGTGTGACACACAGACAGCAGGGTTAAAAAGTCATTAATTTCTTGAGCTGTAGCCTGTTAAGACATACATTTATAAACTGATTTATGTACATTAAAACTGGAATTATAGCAGTTGACATTTACAATTTTGGACATAAAATTCAAAATATTTTTACATATGCATATAACGTATTGATTAAACTCAAAATTAAACACATCACATTGACATTTATTTAAAAACACAAACAATTTTCTCTCTCTATTCTATTTGAATAATAACATCTCAGAACTGTGCAAACATTAAAAGTTAACTTTCAATTAAACAATCTTAAACCTGTGTAACTATTTTACAATTAATAATGAACTAGGTATATGAAGAAACAAAGCATACATGGCCGGACTTGAGATTCTGCAATATCCTGTCATCTTTGAACTGGACAGAACTCTCAGCATTGTCCCTAGGGATCGATAAAAACCACGTTCAACAAAAGTGATGGTTTATATTAGATAAATGATTAATTCTAATGACCACTAAATTTAACAGATGTGATTCAAATAAGCTGATGATCACACCATTTAATATAGATTTTTGACACAAAACATTTTCTTTTATCAATAGCTTAAACCCCCATGTTCACAAGTTAGAATTAATGCTATGATATGAGGGGTAGCAATGGATTTGAGGGGGGATTAAGTATCCTTATCAATAATGCTAGTTATGCAAAACATAAGCAAAGTTGACTGGTGTATTGTGTCTAGTCACCAACTACCATGGAGTGGTCTAGCTGTGGAAACACATGCTTATAACCCACATTACTCAGAATCTATTCCACCACCAACCCAAATTCCAAAACCAGGAGGCTTGAAACTTGAGGGAGGAAGTTAAAACCTAAGTGGCTGGCAACAGAGATGAAGCTAATATTAGAATCTACATCCTGCTGCACTGTTCTAGCATATATACTTAGTTTAAGAGAGAACTATTCAGACAGGCAATGCTAGATTATCAATGGACACCAAAAAAAAAACAACCAAGATCTATATGGAGGTAGTCCCACCAAGTTCTAGTAAAGTAAATGTAGAGCACTGTACCCGTAACAAACTCCAGCAATGGAACATTTGCTGAACCTCATTATGTTCTGTGTTAAAGTGCCAGTTTTGTCAGAAAATATGAACTTGATCTAAAAGAACAAAACAACACAAATTAAATTATTATTTGGTAATTTAAATTTTTTGTTGTTGAAAATTTAACATTAATTTCTTTACAACATTAAAATCTTATTGAACCCACCTGACCAAGTTCTTCATTTAAATTTGATGTTCTGGCATTGGCATGCGTCTTGGTCTTGGCATAATACATATCTAAATCCTGGATGTCAGAGAAAAAGCCAGCACTTGTATTAGGACTAGTTACATCTTCACTGTTAAAGCCATACACTTTAATGAACACAACAAATATTAAAACAACAAAGATACAAAAAATGAAATGAGTGCATTTTAATCACTATCACATTTAAGATACCAGATGACAGGAGTGATAGAGGCAGCAGTTCACGGCAACAATGGACCAAATCAACAAAGATGGACCAACGAAACAAAGATGGATTATTGCAACAAGATGAACCAACTGACCCAATTGATGAAGATAGCTTGAACAAACTTGACCATTTCTAAGGTGACTTGCAAGCTGATTGGAATTAAATTGTTGTACAGGATGATGAAGGTCAGCAGATTGTAGCCAAAATTGGTTTTTACTAGTTCTGGCAGAAGAAAAAAACAAAAAATACAAGGTAGTATGAAAACAATCATTACTGTCTTAAGCTATTTTTATACCATTTGTTATACTAGGTAATAATTGATGTCAAAAATTAAAATGTTCAAGTCTTTGCTTTAAAATAATTCTGAATACGCATAAGTTATTTATGAGTGGAATCATTCTCTAAACAATAATCAAACATAATGTATGTAACCATAGCTGGTCACCTTATATGTATATGTAGGCAGCTTGGCCACTGTGGATTAGTTTGGGGGGGGGGGGGGGCTCTCTTAACTTGGTCATGTACAGGTTTTTATGTGCTAAATTTTAACTGATTAGGGTTTGGTGCTTTTGTTAACAGTGACAGTTGTGTACCTTATTAATAAAGTGACAGAATTGTCTGCTCTTGTTAACAGTGACAGAGTTGTGTACCCTATTAATAAAGTGACAGAATTGTCTGCTCTTGTTAACAGTGACAGAGTTGTGTACCCTATTAACAAAGTGACAGCATTGTCTGCTCTTGTTAACAGTGACAGAGTTGTATATTCGTGTTAGGAGAGTGGCTGAAATGTGTGCTCATGTTAATGGTTAGAGTCATTACTAAGTGACAAGGTTCTTCTGTTCAGAATACATATCACTGACTTGGTGATAAGATTCCATGGTGAACATACTAACTTCAAGATCAACAAGCAGATGCATTTCTTAGTACACACAAATCTTGCCATAACATTGGAGGAGGGCAGGTTGTATTTTTTTTTCAAACATTTTTTGGCTAGATCAAGTCCAGCCCTATATTTATGCAAACATGGGAAGCAAAATAAGAAGTCTATCCTGTTGAGTTAAGCATCTAGCTACGCCACAAGGAATGTCACCATAGAAAACATGCACTAGCCAAGCAGGTTCATGCAATGATGACAGCTTTGTTAGCATACATTATGTTTTTGTAAATTTAAGTGAAAAATTTTTTTAGCACGACATGTTAACATAGTGGCTTTGTAATGGCCAAGGCAAAAAGAAGTTACAGAAATCAGCTTTGCGAAAAAAATTAAAAAATTCAAACAATAAAGAAAATAAAGCAGGAAGCAAACGTGTAGCAAGGTTTAGATTCTGTGTGTCATTACTATACAAAATGAAATAAAAACAGAAGCTCAAAATATTAGCTTGAAAAATATTAACTGAAAAGTATATATAAACGAAACAAAGATCTGAATAAAGGTGACTGACAATGCATAACAACTCCCTAATCCTCAACACAAACATTTTAAACTCCAAACAACATTTTTTGGGAAACCTTACTATTTGGTGAGTTTTATTTTTGCTAAAGGTGGACATTATTTTAAAATTATTCAAAACAAAATTTTCGTTTCAAATTTTGAAATATAGAAACCTCAGTGTAATTAACTGTACAAAAAAAAAATCATGAAATTTATTAGAATTCAGTGTGTTTAGTTGTCAAGCAAAACTTTATGAAAATCTGTAGCAAAAATTGTGATAATAGCCCAATGATTTGAATCTTCAAATGACTGTTTTGGAAGAGGAATAGAGAGATTGTAGCATTTTATCAAACTTTGTCTCATCTTACCAGTAATATTATCTGTAAAAATTCAGTCTAATCATAAGCAACTAGCTGAATGGATTCTCATAAATATAAGACAAAATAAAATCTACTGACTGATGCCAATGGAAAATTGAAATACAATGTCAAACATGCCATACATTTACTCAGCTTACAACTTACTAGATTGGAAAATACTATTTAAAAACAGCAAGACTAGTGCAAGAATTCAAGAGTGGTTAACAAAGTGTTTAAGGTATTTCTCAAGTATTCTTGTGTTTCAATAAGAAAGAAAGAAAGATTTAGTAGAAAATTTTCACAATTGAAGATTTAAGATTCAGATACTGTCAGAATTTTGATCTAGAACCTAAAGACACCAAGGAGTCCATAAAAAGGTATATGACATAAGAATTAGTGCTCAGACCATCATATAAAAAAAAAATAACTTTATCCAGATTTCAGTTTTGATAAGGCCAATATTAATTTATTGAGCATTTTCAAAATATTTATGCATTTTTATTTATCTTAATTTTAATACAAGCTTAAAGAATAAAAATTTTAACAGTCTTTTCTAATGCCACTCTAGTAAATTGTATTCCAAAAAATGTTGCATGGAGCTAATATTTACAAGCCTTTGTTTTCTAATCATTCTTTTATTTATATATCAAACTATACATTTATTTACAGACAATTTTTATTCTTTTTTGAGGAACTAATTTCGCATCTAAACCTTGCTATGTAACATTCTTTTTCTTTTATTGAATGAAAATATTAGTTTCGGCTAACTGCAGTGTACAATATTTACCATAATAATAATTACGAAGTTTTGCTATAGGGTAAGAATGAAAGAAAGTTTAATTGTTTAAAATGTATTAAAAGAACAAAACAATAGATTAGTAAGTACTGCTTTTATAAAAAATAACTTATAAAAAAAAACTATTTAAAATCACAACATTTTAAAAATTAGTTTTGTTTGAAACATCAAGTGTGATAAAACATTTTTTTTCCATAATGATGAGGACATACTGTCTAACATTTACTTCAAACTAATGAGGACGATTGTCTTACATTTACTTTAGACTAATGAGGACAGACTATTTTACATTTTGTTTAGACTAATGATGACACACTGTTTTACGTTTACTTTAGACTTATGAGGACAGACTGTTTTACATTTACTTCAAACTAATGAGGATGATTGTCTTACATTTACTTTAGTCTGAGGACATATTGTTTTACATTTACTTCAGACTAATGAGGATGATTGTCTTACATTTACTTTAATGAGGACAGACTGTTTTACATTTACTTTAGACTAATGAGGACAGACTGTTTTACATTTACTTCAGACTAATGAGGATGATTGTCTTACATTTACTTTAGTCTGAGGACATATTGTTTTACATTTACTTTAGACTAATGAGGACAAACTCTTTTATGATGGTCTTTTGCCTAATGATGAGGACAGACAGTTTTACATTTACTTTAGACTAATGAGGACAAACTCTTTTATGATGGTCTTTTGCCTAATGATGAGGACAGACAGTTTTACATTTACTTTAGACTAATGAGGACAAACTCTTTTATGATGGTCTTTTGCCTAATGATGAGGACAGACAGTTTTACAGAGACAATCTGAAAACATTTTCCACTTAAAGACCACAACCCAGCAAAGAACTCTGACATACAATTTGATCAAAGAATAAAATTGAGTTCAGGTCACTAACTGAAATGGAGGTACATGATGATCATTGATGAAGGTGACACAAAATGGAACAACATTCAGAATTTTTTTTAAAGTTCAAAGATGTAGATGCAGCATTTGATACATTTATACATCTCATTACTGTTAAAAGGACAATGACTTGAAACTTGAACTGTGGCAAAACTAGGAACAAATGGAACAGGATGACATTAGAACAACTAATACCTTCTAGATGGGATGATAACAGGATAGAACATAAGTAACTATAACAAAAGGGGTAAAGCAGGGGAATAGGCTGAAATATAAGAAAGATAAGTATGAAACAAAGGGGGTGTTAACAAGGCATGAACAAAAAATAAATAAAGTTTCTCTCCAGCATGTAAACTTCTACAAACTGAAACATTCCAAATTGTAAGTGCTACAACATAGACTTAAGAATAATTGGTGATTGATAAGGACAGGTTTAATGATACCCTTGAAGTATATTGTTGTAATACATTTATCATAGCAAAGTGTAGACCAATGCCTGCTCCTTAGTGCATCAAACGATACATTTGTTTGTGTGTGTGACTTACACAGTAAGTCTTTGAAGAAAATATATTACACGGTTATGATCCCACACTTGAGTCTGTAGGATGTTCCTCAGCCAACCCAGCTCAAGTTAGGGAAAACTAAGGTGGCAGAACATAGGTTAGACCACAACTATCCCTCTGAGTGCAGAGGTAATTGAAACAGATGAACTCTACTTCATCTGCACCATGTATCTTGGGAACTACAGGAAAAGTTGATGATTTGTATATTACTGCCTTATGTACTCAATCTGTAGGATAATTTATTCATAGAACAAAGGCCACTGACATCTGTCTCATATTACTGATTGTGCTGAAAATTTTTAAATATAATTTTTAAGACACAGAAATGTTGGATGTAGTCTAAATGCTGTATTACATTGAATTACCTAGATTGGATTATTATTAATTCTAGCTCTAAAATAATTAAGCATTCAATACAGACAACATAGAAAGCATCTAAAACAATCAACAGTAAACTTAGGACTAAATAAAAGTGTTATATACACCTCTCTTAAGTGCAACAAACCACAGTGTTAAGCTTAAGGGACATTGAACCAACATACCATGATAGAAGAGATACCAGTGCTCATTTTCATTTTCTTTTACCCAGATGTGATTAGCCACAGAGCAGACCAATGCCAGGATGACCAACATGAGGAACAGAAGTAATATCTGGAAACAAAATAATAAGAAGTAAAATTAGCATCAGGTGAACATTTAACTGGGTACAGAAATAAAAAAAAAAAGTAAAACTGAATGACCAACATGAGGAACAGAAGCAATATCTGGAAACAAAATAATAAGAAGTAAAATTAGCATCAGGTGAACATTTAACTGGGTACAGAAATAAAAAAAAAAAGTAAAACTGAATGACCAACATGAGGAACAGAAGCAATATCTGGAAACAAAATAATAAGAAGTAAAATTAGCATCAGGTGAACATTTAACTGGGTACAGAAATAAAAAAAAAAAGTAAAACTGAATGACCAACATGAGGAACAGAAGTAATATCTGGAAACAAAATAATAAGAAGTAAAATTAGCATCAGGTGAACATTTAACTGGATACAAAAATAAAAAAAAAGGTAAAACTGAATGACTAACTGGATACAAAAATAAAAAAAAGGTAAAACTGAATGACTAACTTGCATAACAAAAGAGTATCTGGAAACAGATTAAAAAATAGAAACAACTTATAAAATGGTTGCTGACTCCTGGCTGAAGAATGAAATGTGTACCTGTTTATTGGTCATTTTTTCCACATTAGACCTTTTAAGAGGAGTACTTGTGGAGTTGAGCATCAACTTTGACTGGGGTCCAGTGTAGATGACGAGACCTGCCAAACAAAAAAACAAACAACAGCATCATATTTGAGTGCAGTGGTTCTACATGTGTGTTTATCAGATGTTTTCACTTTGTTTCTATATTGATGTAAAAGATTTTGTTTAAATACTAGTGTAGGCTAGCTGTACATTTACAGTTTAATAGTGTATGGGAATTTTTAAGATGTAAACTGGACCTCAGCAAACATGAGTTTACTTATGTATTGAATTTCTAAGTGTAAACTGTCTGACCTCAGTTAAAAGTGGCATGACGACTCACCATAAATCCAGCTGGTGTTTTTTAAACAAGCGCCTCTCAGCAGAATCTGATCTGGGCCCAATGGTACAGGTCTATAAAATTACAACAAAATTAAAAAAAAAAAAATTGTGACATTCATTAACATTGTTCAATGATTTTCTTAATAAAAAAACCCAAGACAGAGTACAATAAAATTAATAGCATTACAAAAGGAGTAGAAAATGATTTTATTTGATTAAATTTAAGATGCTTGAACTATTTTCCCTGCGGATTTTTTAAAAAAGTTATCCATATTATTATAAAACTAGAAATACTAGGAGAGTACTGAATATTTTTAAAATTTGAAATGGGAGAAATCTGCAAAAATAATATACTATGAATGTTTACACAGAGAATAGTATTTTACATGTGATCAGCTATTATTGCACTAAAGTAGAGATTTTCTTAAGATGTGCTTTATTAACTACACAAAATGTTTTTATTTAGATCTTGAAACTTATTTAAAATAAACTAAATCAAAACTAATTAAAACATATTTTAAGAAATAAAACAAATATAGAACTTATAAACCTTTACTAAACAAGCTTTTTAATGCACTAAAAATAAAGAAATTCATTTAAAAATATTTTCTTTTTTAAAATGGTACATTAATGAGATTTCCTGGGTGATGAATGATAAATGGGTTAAAAATTGAGTTCCTAGAATTGAACACAAACAAATGAACTTGGTGATGAGAAAAGCTTGTAAAAACAACCACACTAAATTAAAAAATCAAAACATTCATTACATTACTGCAAAAAAATTATTTTCTATTTATAAAATTTGAAAACCTAAAAAAAAAAAAGCAACTTTTAAAACATTTTTTGGCATTTAAAAACTAAATTCAGTAGAAGAAAAAAAACATGACTAACAAGAACTGTTTATCATAATAAAATATGAACTACTTGAGAACCAACATCTAACTGGAACTGTTTGTAAAGAAACATGAACTGTTTATAAACCAACAAGAATTCAGTCAAGTTTGAACCACTCACTTCATGCTGCTACACATTGCATTATTGTCACGTTTGATGCTCTTACGGGTACGACGCCAAAAACTTGTGTCATTTTTAAGAGAGTTCCTGATTCAATGGGCGATTCATTTACATTTATCAAAGTTAATTTGGATGCCTTCACACGTATCAAAATGGCTTTAAAAGTTTTAGCATGTGTCAAGAAGTGTGAGTGAATTTAATACTAGACCATACATATTCAGTATTGGTCAATTTCACATTTACAGTCTAATAAATCTATAAAAGGAAGTAAAGGAATTTTAAAATTTTGAGGCTTTCTATTATGTATAATTTTTTGTTATGGTATAATTAATGGCAATATTAAAACTAGCCAGGAGGTTAAAACATAATTATTGATGATTCTAGTAATCAAATACAGAGTATGACTAATGGATAAAATAGAATAAAGGAGGCAGGCTTAGAACCTGAGCCTTTAGCTATGCTGAACAAGAACTTTATGGTTAGTATGTTAGTATCAACAATAAATGACTCAATAATTTTCTTTAACTCCAAATAACAGCTACAGTTGAAAAAGAAGACTAGTGATTTTGATACTACATAAGTAATGTTAGTTGTATTAGTGTTTGACTGAAGTGGTGACACCTACTTTTTGCTGCCAATGCGAATGTTCCCCACAAACTCATACAGGAACCTGTTTGGCTGCTCACACTCCACCATCCCTCGGAGTTCTGTTAGCTGTTCCCCTGTCACGATGTTGGAGGTAGCCGGAGAACCCTGCGCACATTGGGAGCGGTTCAATTTTTACATTATATGCTATTTAGTTCCTGCATTAAATAGCCACTAAAATAATCAAGACCTTTGCCAGAGAGCTCTGTGCCTAAAAATAAGTCCTTATCATTAATAGCTTTGAAGTCAATAAATAATTTCTGATTTAAACTTAAATAACTAGCTCCCATTTAAAAATACAAAGTTTCCTTCAAACACACTTAACCTACTATTATGTTGGGAGTCAGAATTTAAAACAAGAGACCAGTTGAGAATTTTTTTAACTAGGTCAGCTTGCCCCATTTTGAATTAAGAATCACTGGCCATGTTATTTTGTGACTACTACAGTAAATCCAAGTTAGAGGTGTATGAACAGCGATCAGTCATGTGATAAAACAACTAACCTGCCGCAATTTGAGATTTGTTTCTCCATCAAGGTTAGAAGTTTCTATATAGCACATAGCTTGAGGCTCGCTGATCATTCAAGACAAAAAACATTGCATAAATTTATAAATTTTAACATGAACTCATTTTTATTAGTATACATAAAAAAAAACATTTATAAGTTCTGACATACTGTTTTAAAAATTAAAAAAAATAAACACCTGTGATTTTTAAAAATTATAATAAAATGTATTGTTTTTATCACAGGGCTGTTACTTTAGGCATGTATAAATAGATTAAAAATGATTACAAACAGATAAAAATAATATTAGAAATAATTAAGACAATCTCGTCACATTAAAAATTATATTTTTTGAGCATGGCGTAAAAATAAATCCCCATTTAAAGATATAACTGAGCAAAATGTTTTTCCTGTTTCATGACTTCTAAATAATGCTGAAGCACTAGAGGTTTCTGATTTAAGGTGGACAGTACAAATACTGCAGGTACCCACCTAGAAGACAACAAGATAAGGTCGGCAGGAAAATGTTCACCATCATCTATTTTCACAATGTCTCCCACAATGACATTTTTCCACTTCACCTCCATCCATTTGTTACTTCTATGAACTAAAAATAAAATATTCAAGCAAAGGTGTAAAAATAAAAATAACAATTGTTCAAATTAATTATAAGAGTATTAGAGAAAAGGCAGACGTAAGTGATAGTGAAAGTGGTTTACCATGTGTTGCTCTGTTATTAAGACTCCCATCCGCTCTGTGTCTTTTCTGTTGATAAAATTTGTCATTATATCATAGAAATTATAAAATATCTCTACCAAATCAATCACAACACAAGGTTTTTATCTATAAGAGAAAAGTTTAATTGGTACATATATGAATTTCAGCAGGGAAGCTTTTATCCCCTAGTAGCTCTACTCTAACCCTTCCCAAAAAACAACTAGTATTCTTAGTGTAATACTGTACTGTTGCCCATTTGGAAACATTTGGTAAAATAAAGTGAAATGAAAAGACTCACAATGTCCTCAACAATTTCCTTGATGGCTGACACAGAGAGGATGAGCATAAGAGGTACTGCGGTTGTATATCTCCCCGTAGGTGATACATTAGGAATTTGCTGAAAGTATTACATCCATTTTTAACATAGTAACAGATAACAGATAGGCTAAAATATTCAATCAATAGTACAGTCTACATCAGCTGTATACTAACTGGGAGATGTGATTCCTTAGGGAGGAGTGCTCTAGTGCTAGCAGGGGCTTGAGAGGTTTCACAGAAAGGTAAATGTAAATAGTTAAAAATATACAGCTAGAAATAATTAACAGCTAATATAGTCAAAATAATGACATGTCTCCAGAGACACAATTTTCAATAAAGTTTGCAATGACTATCTCATAGTTGAACCTTGTTATTCCTTTCTTAGTTTTAGACATGTTTGAACATGGATGGTTATCTCCTTTGAAGTATAAACCAGTAAGGATTATCGTTATTTCAATAGCTTGCATTTAATTGGGTAAAAAGGCACCTATGAGGTGAGAGCGGACAGGAGATACGCCAAGGTTTTTTGTTTTTTCAAGGGTGACGCAGTGACAAAATGTTTGCACACGGCTGTGATAAATTAGGAAATAGTTGAAAATACTGCATCATTTTTTTCATCAATATCTATGAACAGCAAAATACAAGAAATACATTTTTGTCAAGGTAGAATTTAATTAAGAAAAAACTTCCACTAGATCTAATCTTCAAATAACATTTTAATTTAAAAATAAAAGCTAGTCACCTGCATAAGAGCAATAAAGAGGAAAAAGATGTTGGCATATTTTCGGAACTGTTCAAACAAAAACTTGGGTAAAAATGTGAATACGTTGTACTTGGCAGTGCTGTGTGGAGAAAAAGTTAAGCATGGTACATAAGTATTGAATGGTAGAAGTAAAGACGGCACATTCAGCAATAGAAAATTTATTACAAATCCCACATTCTTAATTAAGACATGGGGGGGGGGCTGCTGATGTTAAGATCTTGTTTTTATAATCTACAGCTACAAGAAAGAAATCTATGGTAGGAAATAACTAGACATCAATAAATCTTTTAACTAAACAAAATTACTTATTTGTTTTGTTGATGTTTTTTTTAGACAGAAAATAATTAATGAAATAAAAAGGCATTAAAAAAAAGGTACAGAGAATTTAAAAAATTACCTGATTTCATTTGAGCAAAATTTCTGACATTCTGCATTGATGAAAATTTGACGGTTTTGGGCGGAGGCAGGGTAGGACTGGGTGGAACTGGTCCTGGAGAGTACAGTGCTCAAATCTGGATCATGTAGAGGCTGGTAGTCTGCGCAAATAAACAAACAAACACATCTGTTCAAAAGTTAACTGGATAAGGTTTCCACACAATTATTTGCATGACTAAAACATAAGGGATAAACTCCAGCCAGACCGTATGACCTAATATAAATTTCTCTCAATGATTCCATTGAAAAGGAATTAATTAAACTTATTTTAGATTTATTTTATCAAGCATCAATGCTCCAGTAAACAGAGCCATTCTGTTTTATAGAGCAAAGCATTGGAGAAGGGTGCTGTACAAAACCAAGTCTATAGTGCCATCTTGACAAAAATATGAAAAATATGCAATGTCAGTCACCAGACATGTCATGTGTAACTTCACACCAACTGTGATGTGTCATGACACAAGTGAGCTAGTGAAAAACTAATGTAAATTGTAATCAAGATCTGTACAGTGAGACGGCAGGTACAACATGTGTAATAAATGTGTATTTACTGCAACAAGATCTGTAATATGAAATAACACAGGCAATAAATAATGTCAGAAGTGTTTCTTTACATTAGCTGTGCCCCCACCCCTCCTCCCACTAGATGCCTGTGTTTATGCAATTGAGTTCATTTATTGAAGCCCATGCACCTAAAGCATGTTACCTTCCCATTTCCCTCTATCACACAAAACCAGGCCATCAGACTATAATATCTCCGAACCCTCCCACCCCCACCCAACTGTCAGTACTGTGAAATGTCATTAACACGTTCGTTATCGGCACTGCACTCTTAAGATTGCAGAAGAAGAAAATACTATTAGAAAGAGCTTCTTAAAAAGGCTGAAATTGGCAGAAAATTGAGGCTCGTGCTGATCACATTAAGTCTAGAGGAGCTCATGTTCGGAAAGCGTAAAGTTACTCCAAATGTCATTCCGCCATTCTGACGTCCCATTTATTTATGGTGCATAATCCTCCTGACGTCATTCATGACAGATTTATCGCTAGCCTTGTGTAATCGTAATGGATGGTCGATGCAAAGTTTTTAAAATGTTAAGACTTCTCAGTATTACATGCTCTTTTTCGCCTTTGAAAATGGGAATAAGACTAAATAATTCATTTCTAATTACAGCTTAAAGCAAAAGGAACGGGAATTTCAAACTTTAAAAATTTCGGCAAAAGAAACTTAGCATTGGCCTACGTCAGCAAGTATGGCGGACAAAGAAAAAATAACTCTAAATTACTGTCGTTTGTTTACACAATGATTGAACGATTTGTGAGGGAGTTTGCATTGAACAAAAACCACGACGGCTAGAAACCGTAGAGCATTAAGCGACAGACGCCTGCACTAATATCAATAGCACAAGTTTCAATAAAACGGGGTTTTTATGCACGTCTTAATGGTGGATTGTGTAAATAATGGCGTGAGCAGTGGGTGGGGCTTGAGCAGGGGGTGGAGCTTGAGATTATAGGAGGATGTGTACAGGTTGTGGTAAAGAGTAATGTCACGTGAAACGGAGAAGCGATAACGTGAGACGGTAAAGAGAAATGGCAAGTGAAACTGAAGAGAGAAAATGTGAAAAGTCACGATCTATCATGAATAAAAAAAAAAAAAAGCTTTCAACTAAATCTTCTCATCATCTATTATAATCAGGCTAAAAAATTCCACCGCAGCCCTTATATTTTGATACGGTGGCCCGTACAATGCTGACAGGAATCAATAATGTATAGCGGTTTTTATGGGACATTTTGCCTCCATTATTCGAGAGATTATTTTTTGTACCAAAGTCTGCTTAGGAGGAAACTAGACGGTTTAATGAAGAGCAGTAGAATAAATGATGTCAAGACTGTGAACTATACACGAAATCCCTTTTTGCTTCAACTAAAATAACGAACCATCGAACGAATCCTATCATATGGCAAGTAGTTTCATTAAAACTGTACCATAAATCATGCCGTGCCAACCAGGCAGACGTTACCAATCAGTCTAGTTGTATCATTAACCAGACTGTACCAATCATGCCAGTTGTACACTTTGCCAGAGTGTGCCAATCATGCACAATTAACCAGACTGTACCAAACATGCCAGTTGTACACTTAACCAAACTGTACCAATCATGCCAGTTGTACACTTAACCAGACTGTACCAATCATGCCAGTTGTACACTTAACCAGACTACCAATCATGCCAGTTGTACACTTAACCAGACTGTACGAATCATGCCAGTTGTACACTTAACCAGACTACCAATCATGCCAGTTGTACACTTAACCAGACTGTACCAATCATGCCAGTTGTACATTAACCAGACTGTACGAATCATGTCAGCTGCACCATGGGACAAAATTTACAACGTCCTGTGATCACGCTGCTCGTAATGTCAACAATAGACACAGCTGTGACCCCCCGATGTTATCAGCCACCACAACATAAACAATCAACTGACCCAAATCGTGGGGCTCAAGATTAAACACACACACACCCTACACATGTACAGAAATGTCCACTAGCTACCAGAATACTGGGTGCTTTGTGAGGGCGGTAATAAATGAAAGCTAATAAAGTATAAGCCCTACTGGCAATACGTTTATCTTTGGTGGGAAAGTTTTTAAAACGCCTCGCGCGTGAAACTTTTTCTCAATTCATACTTCCGGTTCACCTATTATCTAGGCCTACCAGTTTAACATAATTTAACGGCTTGAGGGTTTAGCAGCTGTTAGAGCATAACATCTACCCGTAGAGAAGTGTAATTTTCTTAGTGTTGTACTGCATTTTTTTCAGCTTTAATTTTTATAGCGGCCACTCACAAGACGAAATTGACAAAAACATGTTTTAGCTCATGTCAAATAACGGTCGGGTTTCTCTAAGCACTCAACAAACAAAATCAGAGCTTAGAAAATGCTTTTTAAAATAGGCATTTGTTGTTAAATGGCTACCGATTTAAACCTCTGTTCTTTTGTGATGCAATGCTCGCTTTTTGCCCACCTCCTCATCCCCCCCCCCTTTATTAAAAAAAAAGACAAATTAAGCCTTAGTTCCCAAGCTTTCTGTATTTCGTCCCGTTTAAATAGCCTATATGTCGAGCTATATGTCTGAGATGACCGTCGTCTTGTCCAAGTTAGTACAATCTTTCTTCAATGTATTCCACTATAGTATCTTTTTAATGTACGGAAGAAGTTAGGTATAACGTGACAATGTTTTGGTGGGACATAAACGATTTTATGTTATATCTAACGTGTAATTTTATCTCTGCTCTAGTAGATATGACACATATAAACTACAAATGGCGGCCGTTTCAATAGGTATCCCAGTTTTGTTTCAATTCATTTATCTAAGTTAAAACCTAATGATCTATGAAGCTATTTTACAGTGCTTTAAAATTCTTTAAAAAAAAAATGAAAATAATTCATTATCAAACAAAAAAATAGGATGAGAAAGACTACTTGCTGTAGTGGTATATTTTCATGCTGAGTGTTTAGGTTTGTGTCGGACGTGAGCTGTGTGTTAAAGTTCACGGGAAACAGCTGGTGAGTAGCGAGCTAGATAGGACTGATCAAACGGCAATGATTGATTCTCTAGTGCAAACTACGGTAGGCGGAGCTAATCGAAATATTTCATCTGTCACTGTAGAAATAGATGGGGCTCGACCTACCAGTGTAGTCTATGGGGTGACACGTAATGTAAGTATATCCCTATGCATGTAGATGGTGTATGTGTATTTACCCAATTAGTGGCTTAGGCAGGAACTTGTCATGGGTGGGGGGGGGGGGGTTATTTCAACAAAATGTTCATCCATCCATCTACCTATTATATTGATTTAAACTATGTAAAATTATTTTTCTTTGTTTCATTTTGGAGGTCCATTGGGAGGGGGGGGGGGGGTAGCCCTCTGCCAACGCCACTGTGCTGTATCACAGCTTATACACTAGAGGTTAGAACCACCGTACCAGTGCTGTTACAATGAAGACAGATCCGCCTATGGACCCAGATGTTATGGTAGAGATAAACAAGCTGACACATGGTAAAGGGTTTCTGATGCATAGAGCAAACACTCCACGTAATTAGTTGTGTATTGATTGTCTAGACGGTGTAATAGATGATGACACAACAATCAAGAAGATAGAAAACGATGATTCCGTGTTTTTAAACCAATTAAGAACATTAAACACTAAACATAGGACAATGTTGGACCAAGTCTAGATAGATCTATTCTGATTTTGCTCACATCTTTGTAAGAAGATGGAACATTTCTTTCAACAAAACTCGCATCCCCGATAAGCGATCTAATTCAGTAAACACTCCTGGGACAGTGAAGATAACAAATTTGAATTGGCATAAAACGTAATAAATTCGTCTCTACCCTCTCTACAGTATTATATGCCAGTAAATAGGTTGAAAAGACCAGAGACTACTGTAAACGTGTTAAAAGACCAGACACTACTGTAAACATGTTAAAAGACCAGACACTAAATATGTTAAAAGACCAGACACTACTGTAAACGTGTTAAAAGACCAGACACTAAATATGTTAAAAGACCAGACACTACTGTAAACGGGTTAAAAGACCAGACACTAAATATGTTAAAAGACCAGGCACTACTGTAAACGTGTTAAAAGTCCAGACGCTACTGGACCAGTCACGAGGACGGAAGTCTGGAAACTTCTTTTCCACATGACCAACACGATCAATCGATACCCGCAGATTACAGATCGATCGAATGATGAAATATTCAAGGCATTATTTGTTTGAATACCGATCGCACCGATCTCCGACTGGCCGAGTACTGTCAAGACGTGCGAGAAACGGCGAGACGCGACGAGAGACCGGCACAGCTTACCGGAGCCGGCATAATGAGCAAATAGTTCCAACAGGAACCTGGTCCACATCAGCTAACAAGATTAGGTGAGCAAGGTCTGTCCTTAGATTAGTTGAGGAAGGTCTGTCCTTAGATTAGTTGAGGAAGGTCTGTCCTTAGATTAGTTGAGCAAGGTCTGTCCTAGATTAGGTGAGCAAGGTCTGTCCTAGATTAGGTGAGCAAGGTCTGTCCTAGATTAGGTGAG